CCACTCTTAGTTTCTAGAAGCTTCTCTGCTGTCCTTGTATGTGGCCGCAGCATCTCAGGAGCCGTCAACAATTGATCAAATCCATCTCCTTCCCGAACTTTCTTGTTCCCCTTCTGCTGCACCTCTCTGACTGGCTCTTCTTTCCTCTTCTGCTTTTATGGGCTCCTGTGATGACTGTGATTCCACTGGGCCCTGACTACCCAAGATAATCCTGTTTTAAGGCCAGTTGATTAGTAACCTTATTCCATCCTCAGGGCAGTACCTAGAGTGAATGAGTAATCAGGAGATGGGAATCTTGGCGGGGGACATCTTTAGGATGCAGTCTACCACAGACACTTCTATGATACAGTTTAAATTCCAGCACATTCTGTATCCGGTTTAATTGTTCAAACTCAATATTTAAAAAATATTTATTTGAGAGAGACAGAGAGAGGGAGCAAGTGCATGAGCAGAGAGAAGGAGAAGCAGACTCCCTGCTGAGGGGCTGGATCCTAGAACCCTGGGATCATGAAGACACTTAACAGACTGAACCACCCAGGTGCCCTTAATTGTTTAAACTCTTAACTATGCAAAGTAAAAATGATTACTGGAAGAAGTAGCTAGGGATCACCAGCATTTCATGCAGGCTTCTTAGAGCTAACATTGTCTTTTGTACTAAAAGCTTTTTTCTTGTTATAGAGTCACATTTACAAATAAATCAAGAAAGACATTCATTCATAATTTTTGTTCACATTATTATGCTGGAATATTTGTTTTTTGATAAATCAGAGCTCTGTTTCATATGGTCTTGAACTTTGGGGATATATGTTTAGAGGATAAAGTATGATTCCAGTATCTTCCTATCAAAACCAGATTGTTCAGAGGTGGCCCATGTGGCAAAGATATCAGAACCTTCAACAGTATTATTTCTTTAAAGTGTGAAGTAAATAACTTTTTTGGTCCTGTCATGAAAATTTGCAACTTTTCTCCCTTCTTCTCTGTTAAGTGATGTTTTTGTTAATGATAGTTATTACACCTATGAGGCAGACCTTTTATTCTTTGCAAAAGTACTTCATAAGTGCTCATTTAGTTCCTGCTGTCTGTGAGGCAGTTAGGATGAGCGGTCTCATCCCCAGGCTTAATGAAGGGCTGCGACTGTGGGGTGTCCACATCAGGTGGGGCCTGGCAGTGGGGGCCAGTGAGAGAATTCACCCAAGACAGAACAAAAGAGAGAGAAGTTTATCGAGTACACCACAGGGAAGTGGCGGACAGGGCAGTAGAGGAGAGGCTTTTTGCTGCAAGGCAGGGGTGAGGGCGGAGTGAGGGAGTATGGGGATATCACTGTGCCTGGTTGTGAGTAGCTCAGTGGTTAGTAAGGCCCTATGGCTATTTTGGACTGAGTCGTTTCATAAACCTGTTTGCATTGCGTCTTTGCATTCGGCTTGATGGTCACTGTAAGCCCTTTGCCTTGGTCAGGTTCTAAGCCTCTTGCTTAAATGTGGCCCTTTATATCTTAGTCCCCCTCCCCCGCCCCCAAGATACATCCTCCAATCATGACCCACCAATATACATCTGAAGGGTCTCATGACTGAGGGTTTACTAAACAGTAATAGACAACCTTTCCCAACAAGAGCTAGCCCCCTCAGGATCCTGGAAACCATGCTTCCAGAATTCCTTAGAGAGTTCTGTAAGTCTCACTATCCCTAACCCCCTCCCCATTCCTCTTGACCCCAGTGCAGCTCTTTCTGTCCACGGGTCCTGTCCCCATGCTTTAATAAAACCATTTTTTTGCACCAAAGACATCTCAAAAATTCTTTCTGGGCCTTCAGCTTGAAACCCTAACCATCATTTTTGATTTCCCATCTAAACAAGGCCCCCATGTGTTTGTTGACTGACCACGATCATGGGTGGTTGCTTTGGCGCTCACTGCTGGGCCTAGAACATGTCTTTGGGGGTCGACTTAACACTGAAGCAGCATTGGTAATGGACCGCTCTTTAGCAATGCTGTAATCATTATTTTAGAAGTAAGAGAACAGAGGATAGATTCTCTGTTATTCATTTGAATCTTGTGAAAAGATCTCCTGGAGTTTCTTCAGACATCAGAGGTGGGACAGGATGTTCCCATGTAGCTCCAGCCACCGGCACTCTTTCAGGTCCTAAGCCTGTTTCAGCCTCAAAGAATGCCGCCAGGCATCTATGCTGTCTGCCTCTCTAAGATGGGGGTGGCCCTCAGGAGGGGGCTTGTCACAATGGCTTCTGCTTGGGAGACAGCACTTTCTTTGAAAGCTTTTATAGATTATAAAGAAGTCTTGGTTTTGAGGTCTCTTTTTTTTATTGAAATTTTTTTCCTGTTTGTTATTTTTTCTCTCTCCCCTGCCTCCCAGCCCCTAATGCTTGTGTAATGCTTTCAGCACATTTATTGACTCACTCTTAGCGAGCGGTTCACGCTGGTGCATGACATCTGCGGACAAGGACTGGCATATTGGTTTGGTTTGGTTTGGTTTTCATGATTGAAGACTAGAGATAACTACCTTATGAGTTGATTGTCTGGAAATTTGCTTTATTCGTTTTCATTGGTTTCAGGACCTCTCAAAAAAAATACAAAACTCTATTGGAAGTATATTTGGGCAGACAGTAAACTCCACATATTTCAAGTGTACAGTAGTATTACACATGTTGACGTATTTTTACACCCACAAAACCATCACCAGTACCAAGATGGTGAACACCTCTGTCACCCTAGAAAGTTTCAGCAGCCTTGCCCTTTTCCCCTTTGTGGAAGTTAAACCCATAACTCCCATGAGATCCAGCCTTTCCACCTCCAGGGAGTCACCTAGGAGAAATGGAGGGGTACGTCTGCCTCAGACCCATACAGGAATGTTTGCAGAACCTTCATTCATAATACCCCAAACCAGAAGCAGCTCAAATGTCCAGCAGCAAGTGAATGGATAAACAGATCCACTGGAATGCTATTGGGTGTTATAGAAAGGAATGAACTCTTGTATTTGGTTTGAGTTGAAGACTCAAACCCATATATCTATATTTTTAAAGATTTTATTTATTTGACAGACAGAGGTCACAAATAGGCAGAGAGAGAGGTGAGAGCAGGCTCCCTGCTGAGCAGAAAGCCCTATGTGGGGCTCAATCCCAGGACCCTGAGATCATGACCTGAGCTGAAGGCAGAGGCTTAACCCACTGAGCCAACCAGGCACTCCAAGACTCCCATATTTAAAGCAGATTTGTCTTTGTTGTATTTTGCTTGACTTGTATTAAAACTGATGGATTTTCATTCTCTTAGCAACCCACCCTCCAGCCCCTTGAGGAAACTAGCCCCATATTAAAGAGTTAGTTATAGATGAACTATAAGAGGATGTAAGTTGCATTTGGATCCTTAAGAGTTGAGAGCTTGTCGTCCGAAATGTTCAGTACCGTCTGGTCCGCTGTGGGACTTGTTCCTGTAATCCCAGGTAGCGGAAATGCCATCTGTGTGTCCGAAACGATGTCGGTGATGGTTGTGGGGATCTGTGTATGATTTTTCACAGGCAGGGCCAATGGAATAGAGGAAGTAGAATTTAAGAGGAAAGGAAAAAGCCCTCAGATTGGTTGCTGCACAGACAGAAATTCTTTCAAAGGAGGCTTAAGACAGTAAATATTAGTTCCTGGAAAATACAAACAAAACAAAACAGAAGACCCCACAGAAAGAAAACTGCTTCCTTCCCCAGACCTGGTCAGCTCCTGGAGGGTCACAAGAGCCCCAGCTGGGCTGCCCTGTTTTCACTGTCTTGTTTGTGTAGGGGTTACTGTTGCCGGAAGCAGCCCAGGACCTTGGACCTCGAGCTCCCTGCTCGCGAGTTACCCACGTGTTCTTCTGAGGAACCAAAAAGTGTGGTTTTTATTGGACCCTGGTTACAGAGTTGCATCCGCTCCAAATAGTCTGTCCCAATCCTGATTTTTACCCCCTTTATTTCTTATTTTGCAGAATGAGTTTTCTTCTGCCCTCATTCTTGTTTTTTTAATATGGTATTCTAACAACAAAAACAAAACACCCAAATGTTAAAGTAGTTTATTTTAAAAAATTTAATGATTTTATTTATTTATTTGATAGAACAACAAGTAGGGGGAGTGGTCGGCAGAGAGAGAGGAAGAGGTAGGCTCCCTGCTGAGTAGAGAGCCTGATATGGGGCTGGATCCCAGGACCCTGGGATCATGACCTGAGCCTAGGGCAGAGGCTTAACCCAGTGAGCCACCCAGGCACCTTTATTTATTTAAAGATTTTATTTATTTATTTGACAGCAATCACAAGTAGGCAGAGAGGCAGGTAGAGAGAGAGGAAGGGAGGCAGGCTGTGCGGGGCTCTATCCCAGGACCCCTGATGAGCAGGGAGCCTGATGCTGGGCTCCATTCCAGGACCATGGGATCATGACCTGAGCTGAAGGCAGAGGCTTTAACCCACTGAGCCACCCAGGCGCCCCTAGGCACCTTTAAAATAGTTTACTTTAAACAATTTCCTGGAAATATTTTATTTGTATTTCTTAGTATTTTTAGCTAATACATCTTCCTTCCTATGTGTCAGATGTTGTTCTGAGCTCATTTTATCCTCACAACCATGTTGTTCGATTATCTGATATTATCCCTGTTTTATGAATAAGGGAACTAAACAAAGAGGATGAGTAACTTGCCTGAGTTCACACAGCACAGGTAGCCTAGTTCTATGGACCGGGTTCCTCACTAATGTGCTACCTTCTGCACTGTGTTGAATGTAGTAAGTTAGAGTTTCATATGATTTTCTTGTGTAAGTCAAACTGGTTTTACAGCAAACCTTGTGAGCTTAGTGCACCAGTGAAAACCATTGCCGGGAATGCATCAGGACAGCAAAAACATTTATTCAGTAGCTGGGAAATCAATTTGATGTCAGATTTAAGCAATGCAGAAACTGTTATGATAAATAGTTTTTTTTTTTTTTTTAAAGAAGCCTGCATTTCATCTGCTGTGGTTATTTATGGTTTTTAATTTCTTCTTAGGCACGTCACACCTGAAAAATTTTATGTGGAAGCCTGTGATGACGGAGCGGACGACGTACTTGTCATTGACCGTGTGTCCACGGAAGTTACCCTGTCAGGTAGCTCTCAGCAGTGGGGGGACGGGGCGGGGGCAGGAGCAGCCCAGAGAGACTCTGTAAATGGATCGGGGGTGTAGCCGTGTGTGGCTCTGAGTCTCGTCTTATAAATTTGAATTCCTGCCGCCTCATTTGATTTTTATGCCTTTTGTTTTATGCTTCCTCCTTTATTCTAAAAAGGAGGAATGATCTCGAAAGTTTTACTATCTGTAAGGATTTAAAAACATAATTATTTCTTTTTTTCTTCCCTTATCTGTACTTTAACAGGATCGGTTTTGTTGAGGTCAGTTCCTTTCTAGCTGTGAGACTTAAGGTATTTGAGGGCGAGAAAGTTGTTTGAGCATTAAGTGTGTGGAATTTTTTTTTTTTTAAAGATTTTATTTATTTATTTGTCAGAGAGAGAGAGGTAGAGAGCGAGCACAGGCAGACAGAATGGCAGGCAGAGGCAGAGGGAGAAGCAGGCTCCCGGATGAGCAAGGAGCCCGATGTGGGACTCGATCCCAGGATGCTGGGATCATGACCTGAGCCGAAGGCAGCTGCTTAACCAGCTGAGCCACCCAGGCATCCCAAGTGTGTGGAATTTTAACAGCTGCTTTAGGTTTTGGAAATATTCACGACTGAGTATAATTTAATAAATGAAAAAAATACGTATATGTATGTATCATTGACTAAAACTTGTATTGTAGGCAAGTAATGTTTCTAAGCTTTTTCTGTCTATATCTTGTCTGTCTCTCCAGTTATATTTCGGTTTTGCTTCTCTAGTGTGTGAAAAATAATTTTTCCCCCAAATAAACAGTATACTGATTTCTGATTAAAAGTGAAATAATTTTGTTGATAAATTAGTGTACCGCATGATATAACATTTAGAATTTCATATTTCATGTGTTTAAATATTTACCTCTAGAAAGTTTTTTCTTTTTTTTTCTTTTTAAGATTTTATTTATTCATTTGACAGAGAGAGAGCAAGCACAAGCAGGGGAAGCAGCAGAGGGAGAGGGAGAAGCAGGCTCTCTCCACCAAGCAGGGAGCCTAATGTGGGGCTCGATCTCAGGACCCCGGGATCATGACCTGAGCCTAAGGCAGACACTTAACCGACTGAGTCACTCGGGCGCCCCTCCGTCTTTTTTTTAAGTACAGTATTTGAGTAACCGCAGAGTAGGAATTCAGTCAGTGTAAATATCCTTTGAATAGATAAAGTAAAATATGAAAATACTTTGAATAGGATAGTAATGTATAAGAAGGGGATGGCTCTAAATTTCTATTTTCTTAGTTATCTGGTTATTCTGGGAAGTACCATATATAGTTTCCCTTTGACCAGATGGAATTAGTGGTCTTAGTTTGATAATTTGGCATTTCCTATGTCTGTTGGTTGGTGGCTGCTTTCTCAAGAGAGCTGATTGGTTTTGACCAATGTTAGGACACTTCTAAAGTCTAGTAACACTACTTCTTTAGACCGTGTTGCTACAACCCGGTGTCCTATAAAAGCTTTAGCACGGATGTGCTTTCAATTATTTTTGACCTTTCAGTGACATTTGTTTGTAGGTAGAGATTGCAGACCCATTAGACGGGACAGTGCTAAAGGTCACCAATAGTTTGGATGTAAAAAGGACACCAAGTAGTCATCAGTAAACACTTGAAGAAATACTTTGACCCGAAGCCAGTGGTGATGAGGGGCTGACTCACACACAGTACTCACAGTTGCTCTGCAACTTGTTCTTTTTCTTTTCTTTTCTTTTTTTAGCCATTGGGAATGCAGACCATTGCCATGGAAAGAGGATTCTTATTTTTTCCTTCCATGAAAAACTAATACGTATTCTTAGGAATTGTCAGTTTTATTGTTATTATACGCCAGTTGGCGTAACGTGGAGCTCTCTCCATAAATAGTACATTCAGGTTTCTCAGACGATCTCGATACATTCAGGATTTTCTCTAAGCTTTTTGCTGCATCCGTGGTGTTCGTTAATTGCAGCATAGCGTTGCTAAGTAAGTCGAGTCACCGAGAGAAACAGTAGTGAGCTTCAGACCTTCTTCAGAATTACTTTACGCAGCACAACGGGACTGCCTTTAAGAAACAGCACTTGGGTTGACAGCAGTGTTTCAGAATGAGTTCCGGGATAGTAAGGAAACTGTGAAAGAAAAAGTGTACGGCCGCATGAGTCTGGGAGTCGTGAATGAAACCACGGAGCAGCTTTGTTCCCCCGTAGGCCTCCTCAGAGACTCGTGCCTTAGGACTCTGGGAGACGGAAGAGAGGGGACACGTGCGTGTCTGCAGCAGAATGAGCTCCTTTGATGGGGACCCTTACCTCCCCCACTCCGGGGCATTATTCCCTGGAGTTCTGTCGATGTGTTTTGTGAAACACGTTGACTTAAAGTTTAACAGTTACGAAATGAACCATATAATCGAAGATACTTTTTTTATTATTAAGGACACTATTGGTAAAGTCGCAGTTAATGTTGTTGGCTCCCTGCACACCTGAGTTTCCTTCCTCCTTCGTCCCTTTGGTCTTGCCTCCGTTTTCCGTATTTGTACAGGTGGATGTGCAAGTCTCTGTTTGGGTTCCATTAGTTGCATATTGGTGTTAAATTCGTGCCTTCTTCCCCATTAACTTTCTAGTTCCCTTAAATGGACATGGACTTAGTTTTTGGCAAGAGGTTGAATAAATTTGGTTAAAAAATGATCATAGAAAAATACCTCATGATTTATTTGATGTGGATTCAAGCATGTTACTTTGGACACCTTATTCTAGATACGCAGAGGCCTTTATACGTCACATGAACATCTTTATTTTATATTTTGCCAAAATGGAGGTCTACCACTCATGAAGGACTATTGTTTGCTTGCTTGCTTTTTTTTTTTTTTTAAGATTTTATTTATTTATTTATTTATTTGACACAGAGAGAGAGAGAGAGATCACAAGTAGACAGAGGCAGGCAGAGAAAGAGGGAGAAGTAGGCTCCCCGCTGAGCAGAGAGCCCGATGCGGGGCTCGATCCCAGGACCCTGGGACCATGACCTGAGCCTAAGGCAGAGGCTTAACCGTCTGAGCTACCCAGGCGCTCCGGACTATTGCTTTCTCAGAACAAATCATGTGTACTGACTTTCAAGTAACTACAGAAGTCAAACTAGATCTCCTTTTGTACTGATGCCTTCTTCTATGTGATTTTTTTCTTTTCCTTTTTTTTTTTCTCATTTAAAGTCAAGAAAGATGTTCCTCCTTCAGCTGTTACAAGACCAATATTTGGTATACTGGGCACAATCCATCTGGTGGCAGGTAAGAAAAAATAAGCTAAGATGGGCAAAGAAGTTAATTAAATTGACACAGTATAAGATGAAGGCATACTTCCTATCGTGCTTGAGGCAGTAAATCTGTAGGTTAGATATTTGTCATTAATTTCTAAAAGTGACATACTCCAGATGACAAGTGGTAAAATCTATCAGCCTGAAGGTTCTGTTGAAAAAAGTTTCGTTTTTGGTTTTATTTCAACTGGAGTTGAAATCCCTAGTCAACTACACATTTTTCATAAATTCTAAGAGTATTTAAGTAAGTAAACATTCTAATGCACTGATGAACCAGTGTATCCTCTGCCATCAGCCCCGTATTGAGGTTGGACATGACCTAGTGCGGGTTGGAGAATGCTACCTGGTTCTGAGTTATTAAGAAGGAGATTTTGTTTACCTAAATTTCATTTCATTGAACTTAAAAAACATTCCTGTATTACCAGGCAGTGTGCTGATGCTAAGTTATAGAAGATGCTAGAAGATGCCAGGCCCTTTTTTTTTTCCCCCTTCAGTTTACGGTCTAGTGAGAGATGCTTTTAGGTAGTAAATCATTGTAGTACGATGTGACAAGTTCCAGGAGAGAGGTGTTCACAGGAAGACTTCCTGGAAGGACACTTGTGTGAGGAGCCTTGAATGGAGCTTAAGAATTAATTTAGTGGTAAAGGCTTACCCCGTTTTATTTGTGGGAGGAGACAGTGGCCAGGATCATGGTTAGGGTATTATTCCTGGTGCTGTGATGCTTTCTTAATTCTGGACTGTTCATCTTCATGATCCTGCAAGGACCAGATAGTCCTATCGCCCCAGCACATTTCTCTGCCATTTATAATGACACAGAGGCCATAGGGGTGGTGTAGATGGGACATTAACCCCTCTCCGGGAGTGGTCAGATCTCATGACACATGATGCTTTAAGCTACACGCTGGGAAACGCATTAGCAGAGGTCTATATGCCAGAGAGGGAAAGAAGCGTTTTCTGGCTTTACTCTCCATCTGGTAAGATCACTGCTTTTACTTTTATGTTTTTGAGAAAAGATTTGAGCTTTCAGTAGGATCTTTTCTAAATAATGCCCTGTTCTTTCTATTCACAAATCCTAAGATGTCCTTTAAAAAAAAAAAAAAAAAGTCATAGGCCTTTCATCTATGCGGACCTGTGCGGTCTGACTGCTGGCCTGTGGGGCTTAACCGTGTAGAGTGCCACTATTGGCCTTCGAGTTGCCTCCTTTCTAGTCATATTGTGTGTGTTTTTTGCAGGTAACTATCTAATCGTTATTACCAAAAAGACAAAAATAGGGGAATTTTTCAATCATGTCATCTGGAAAGCAACAGATTTTGACATCCTTTCTTATAAGAAGACGATGTTGCACTTAACTGATATTCAGGTAAGAACCGAAATCACTTGATCATTGCAAAAGCTGACATCGTCCCGTTGGGCGACGCTGGGGGCAGTGGGACAAGGAACACTGGATAGATTTCTTTTAAGCCTAAGGATTTCAACAGTCCAGCAAGCAAAGTTCCTCTACACACATGCTTTCTAAAAGTCCTTTCTGTATCTTACTGTTGTTGGTTTGTTTTTTTTAAAAAACTGACTCACATTCTTGAGTTTTGAAATTTCATATGTAGAGAAAAGGACAAACAGAAAAAGCCCCTGTAGCCAACAACCAGAATTAACTTCATATCCTTTTTGCAAAGAAATAAAATGTGAGATGCCTTTGAAGTTCTGCTGACCTCATTTCATTCCCACCTTGTCCGGAGAAAGAATTTTCTTTGCGTTTGCTGCATGGGGACAGCAGCGCACGTGTGGATGTCCCAGCGGCACCCCTTTAGCACGGATTGTGTACGTGCGTCTTTCAGTTAGTTACCCTGCTTCAGGTGTTAGGGAATGCAGTCCCCCAACAAAGCGGTTTAAATTTCAGTTACCATGGCACGTGAAATCAAGCACTGGCGCAGCAAGCTGGAAATGCAAAGGAACGAAAAAGCAGCAGCTTTAGGAGGGAAGTTGGGGTTGAATCTGGGTGGGGTAGAGAAGTCGCGGCTGACTCTGGGAATGCCTGGGCTCGCCCTTCGCGAGGCTCTCGGTCTGCAGCCCGGGGTCTTAGTGAAGGTGAACTCGACATTCGTAATGAAGTGGTTGTGATGAGAGAGTTGAAGATATCCCAGAGGAAATGATGCCTGCGATAAGACTCCCCAGGAAAGGAACTCTTGGGGGTATTCCGTGACCCGGAGAGTGCCAAGGATAAGGTGTCAGGGTAAGAGAAGACAATTAGGGGCACCTGGGTAGCTCAGTTTGAGCAGCCGACTCTTGGTTTTGGCTCAGGTTATGATCCCAGGGTCCTGGCATTGGGCCCGGCGCTGGGCTCTGTGCTCATCAGAGAGCCTCTCTTCCTCTCTTTTTCTCTCTCTTTCTCTCTTAAATAAATGAATACATCTTTAAAAGAAAAAAGAAAAGAAAGGTGTAGATAAGATATTCCACGGATCATTATGTTCACCCCTATAAGACGTGGTGTTTAAGGCAATAAAAATGGTTGTATTTGTTTAATAGCCCAGTAATATTTACCTGAACAGTTTTTTCTTGATTGCTGTACTTGCTTGTTAGCCGTGCAGCTTATTTTAACACTGCCCACTGCATGTGCTTTGCTGGTACCTTTTGTTCTTTAAAAAAAAAAAAAAAAAAAATATATATATATATATATATATACACACACACACACACACACATATATATTCTAAAAAATATGTATATATATCAGACATTTTATATATATATCTGAGCCCGAATTAAAAATTTTGTAATATATAGATTTGTAACAGGTAAATTAACATGTTAATCATTTGATAATCATTAAACATTACCAGACATTATCAGTTATTTCTTAAAGTAAGGATAAAAATAAATGTCCCAGTATTCAGCTAAAGTGATTATCAGAAAATAAAACTAAGTATTATTTTACTGGACTTTTCTCTTTAATCTTTGCATTTTATTTCATTTTATTTATTTATTTGGCAGTGAGAGGGAACACAGCAGGGGTGTGGTAGAGGGAGAAGCAGGCTTCCCGCTGAGCAGGGAGCCTGATGTGGGGCTTGATCCCAGGACCCTGAGATCATGACCTGAGCCAAAGGCAGAGGCTTAATGACTGAGCCACCCAGGCGCCCCTAATCTTTGCATTTAAAAAAAAAGAATTTAATTCCCATCCAGCCCAGTAAAATTTCTTAGGAATGAGGATAATATCACTCCCTTGTTATTTACTCGCTGTGTTATTGGGCCTCTCATGACTTTATATTTTTCACTTGTCAGATGAGAGTAATTACACTAAACTGCAGGGTTTGTTGTGAGGATGAAAGAGAGTCTCTAAAGGGTCAGGCATGTGGGAGGTCATCATCAAAGGCCGTGATGTTCTGTTAAAGTAACTTCTGCCCATTAGAAGTTAAAGTTAAGTTTTGCCCCTAAAGGGCAGGTGATGCAGCCCATCCGTTAATATAATAATACCCCCATGCTGTTCACTGAACCTCCTCCGTGGGCAGGAGCTGGCCTAGGTCCTGGGGAAATGGTGAGCGTTCTCCTGTCTCACCTGTGCCAGTGGCATTTAATAGGGCCGATGGGCTCACAGATGAGGACAGATTCTGTTTCAAGTCTGAGACACACTGATGTTTTCCTCCCCTTTGTTAACAGTTACAAGATAATAAAACTTTCCTAGCGATGATAAACCACGTCCTGAATGTGGATGGGTTTTACTTCTCAACGACGTATGATTTGACCCATACTTTGCAGCGGCTGTCTAACACTAGTCCGGAATTCCAAGAAATGAGTCTTTTGGAAAGGGTAAGCTTCATCTTTATTTTTCCTTATTTTGCTTTTCTTTTCTTTCTTTTTTTTTTTTTTAAAGGGATATAGCTCTATGTCATCCATAAAAATATTTATCGCCTTTTTGCAATCCTGGCTACGTCAGACCTACGTGTGGGGTTGAAAACACACTGTTCTCAGTCCCCGTCACAATTGCAAATTCAGGATCCCAGAATCAGTCTGTGTGGCCCAGACAGGACTGAGAACCAGTGGTACAAGAATTGAGAAGTACAGTGTTAACAGACATGCCGGTAGTTTCCTGAGTTAACTAGTGTTAACAACATAATTGTCCTTATAAAATTAATGTGCCTGTAGGTGATATTCTTTCTGCAGTGGTGTTATAGTTTTTATAACTAGAAAAGTAAGAATTTACTAATATAAGAACTTGAAAAATACTGATTTAAAGTGGGTTTTTTGGTTATTTTGCCTTGCCCCCCCCTTCTTTTTAAATATGAGCGTATCTTTAAAGATATATATATCTTTTTACATATATATATATATATATATAAAGGTCCTCAAATGGTATCATCCTAAAATTCCTGCTGTTCAGGAACCTGGATGATTGCTGCCTGGATATTTTAGTAACAGACTTCAGATGTGTTTGGGGGCAGACCGAATTGTAAAGGTTGCTGTCTGTTACTTGTTAGGCTGGCCCCTATGAAATTGCCAGTCACTGACCATTTTTGACCAGTAAAAATGATAATTTCATATGGTCCACCCTAAATCAATATTTTTGTTGACTGGCTCTTTTAAGATTTTGTACTCTAATCTAGGAAAATTATATGTAGGCTTGGACGTAAATTTAGATGTAAGCTAAGCAATCAAGCAATTTGTCTTTTAACTGCAGAGACGGTTGCTTTTAAAAGCAGTTGCTATGCTATGTTCTCCATTTGTTTACGAAATGTCTCTCAGATGCCTGCTGTGTACCAGTCGCTACACTAGCCAGTGGGGACACGGAACAGGAAGGGTGGCCCCTTGTGGGGGCCTGCGGCCTCCTGGGGAAGCAGAAGTCTGGGCAGTCACAGAATAAGGGACCATTGCTGTGATGAGGCCTGTACCAAAATGGAGTGGGATCCCAAGGGAAACTTGGGTCTCACTCGCTCTGGGGGAGCTGGGGATGACCTTACAAAGGAGGGTGCTTGTGAATGGAGACCGAATGCTGTTCTGAATAGGCCATGGTGGTCAGGGGACAGTGCGAGAGGGAGGGTTCCAGGGGGAGGCGGTGGCAGTGTAATGCAAAACTGAGACAGCGGTCCTGCCCGCTGGGAAGGGAATTTGTCAGCTACTCAAGAGTCAGAGTAAATGTAGGAAATCGTGAAGCTGACAGATGAACCATACATATCTTAGACATTTGTCAGACTAAAATCATAAAATTCGACACTGACTGGTTGATTTTTTGATTGAGGACTAACTAAGCTTTTCTTTGTTTTGGGTTTCTTGATCCCTGTGGAAAGTACATCCCTTTCACTTTTCCAGTTTGAGCCGGTAGAGGTTTGGACACCCACAGAGCGGTCTGTTGGCAGAATCCTGTAGATTCTGACCGTTTCTCGGACCTTCCAGAGCTGCCCCTCCTCCTGCGGCTCCAACAGCTGTATTGGTTCAGCAGCTTGCCTTTAATTGCTTTAAGTTCTGTTATCGTTCAGCTCTCCAAAAAAAAGTCGTTTGTTTTTAAGTCCTGTCTCACGGTTGTGTACGACCCTGAGCTTGGTTATGTTGTGACGGCTACCAAGTGCCGCTGGCGGCCTGCGATGGCGAGTGCACCCCTGTGCGGCGAAGTGGGCCCGGAGCCCGGTTGTGGCCTCTCCCTGGACTTGGGGGCGTGGCGGTCTATAGGTGTGTTTTGTAAAGAGAACAGAGAGTTGGTCAACCTCCCGTGTTGTTGAGGGAACTTCTCCTGTATTTATAGTGTGAAAGTCAGAGCGGCTAGGGATGCCGGCAGGCGGTTCCTGGAGGCGCCGCCAGATGGGTGTTCTTTAGGTGACAGCGAGCCCGCGAAGACTCCCCAGCAGACGGGAGACGGGTCGTGTTGGAGAGCTTCTGCTGGCAGCCTGTGGAGGGGTGGGTGGGAGGGGCGAGGCAGAGACAGGAGGCGGGGCCGTGGGGGTGAGGGGACAGTGGTTAGGGCAGATCAAGTGCTAGCCAGGCCTGTGGGAGCAGGGATGTAGGAGAGGGGGCGGATTTGGAAGGAGATGTGGGACTTGGCAGTTGACTACAGATAAGAAAAGACCAACCCCAGAGGACTCTTAGGTTTCTGCCTGAGCCAGTGGGACAGGACACCCCAAGGAGCGGCGGGTTTGAAGGGAAGACCTGCCTGTAGCCGCCAGGTGGAGACTCTGATTGTGGAGAGTTTTCGTTTTGTAGAAATGCAGGTTGGCAGGAGCCACTTGATTAATTTTATATCTTCCTTCTCAGGCAGATCAGCGGTTTGTATGGAATGGTCATCTTCTAAGAGAACTTTCTGCCCAGCCAGAGGTAATGGACCCTAATAAAACCTGCTTATCTGTTTCAGTCCAAGTTCTAATTGGCTACACATGTAAAATGGCTGCCTAATCACCAGGGATTGTGGTAAATACTTCTCATTTAACTCAGTTTATAACTTAGGAGCTTTGATAGGTCTGCCTCCTCGCATTGTTCTGGTTTGAAGAAGCCCAATGATTTTATGCTGATCTCCCATAGAAGCCTTAAAAAGAAGAAATACTTTCATAAAAGAACATTGCTTTCTGTGAGTAAGAGAGAAGGGGTCCTGGTGGGTCAGTAGTGGAGAAATGAGGGACCCCACGAGGTCCCCGGGCGAATGCAGAGCTCTGCATTTGTCTTCAGTCACCCGAGAGAGACACACACGGATGCCATCTTCTTCTGTCCTTAGTTGGTACAGATGAGGGGGAGCAGGGAGGCCCAGCCAGGAAGCATAACACACCACACCTAGGTTCATAGATTTGCCTAGTGTCTTTATTTCTTTTCTTTTGTTTTGCTTCTTTTGGAAAAGTAGTTTGAGCCGCAAACCTTAGCATGGGTATCTCTTTTCCCCAGAGCAGTGAAGATGCTGTAGGCAAAGACTGACAGGGAGGGAGGTAGACGTCCAGCGGCTTCATGCAGTTTGATTAGTGTTCCGGAACCTGCACACTTCAGCCCAAATGATTGTATCACATGCTTAAATCATGTTTTAATTGGAAAGACAAGAGTATGTGAAAGACGTTTTTAAAGAAGTTACCCATAAGTTTGATACCTTATTTGTATGTTATCTCCATAACACCCGAATATTGTTACATAGTGTAAGTATGTTTCATGCAGTGATTCTTTTCATTCGAAGAGCATGTGTTTTCCTCAGCGTCCTGTCTCTCTTCATTTCAGGTCCATCGGTTCGCGCTTCCAGTGTTGCACGGCTGTATCCTTTCCAGTTGTCTGCCCGTCCTCAGTTCCGTATTAGTACGAGGCCGATTTAGGAACAATCCCAGTCGGATGAGGAGAGTGTTTTAGAATGAACAGAAATTGCTCTTGATAACAAAATCAAACCCATTACCATAAAATTTTAGAATACTTGTTATAAATGATACCCCCTCCATTTTTTAAATGAACTTTTTTTTTTTTTCAAGGTGTTATTTATTTGACAGAGAGAGAGATCACAACTAGGCAGAGAGGCAGGCAGAGAGGGGGGGAGAAGCAGGCTCCTTGCTGAGCAGAAAGCCTGATGCGGAGCTCGATCCCAGCCGAAGGTCCCATGACCTGAGCCAAAGGCAGAGGCTTAACCCACTGTGCCACTCAGGCGCCCCTTCATTTACCTTTAATCTAAAGCTTTAGTAAGTTTCTGGGTCACACAGTTTCAGTGTTTGAAATACATACAGACAGCTGGGCAGGAACAGCAACCTCGAGGCAGGGCCATACCTAGGCGACGACTGTGGATGGACAGGAGGGATCCAGCTCAGGGAAGGAGCCAGGTTTGGGGCATCCAGGGCCCTGCAGGCTCTGTGTGAGCTGTAATGGTGATCCGAGTGGACGTCGGCATGATAGGACAGGCTCACTGTGACAGCAGTGTGGAGAGCCGGCTGGAGGCGAGCGTGGGAGGGTACCAGGCTAGCTAGAGGCAGCTGCAGTAGTTCAGGCGTGGGGCCGGGATGGTAGCAGGGATGGTGGTGGAAATGGTAAGGCTCTAGATCTGTCTTGAAGGTAGAGCTTACAGAATTTTCTGAAAAATTGGACATGGGCTATGAAAGAAGGGGGTTTAGTACGAATCTAAGGTTTCTGGCCAGAGTAAGTGTAAGGAAGCCAGCCACCAGCCGTCGATGTGTGGAAGCGTCTGGAGGTGGGGGTGAGGCCAGAGTACCCAGAGTTCCATCGGGATACGCTGACCTTGAGATTGCTGTAGCTTCCAAGTCGAGGTGTCACGGAAGAAGGTGGAATAATGGGGCGGGAGTTTACAAGGGAAGGTCATGGTGCAGACATAAATTTGAGAGTCGTCTGGGCACAGGTGGCATTTAAAGCCATAAGGCTGATGAGTTCATCAGAGGAAGGAAAGCATCTAGAGAAAAAAAAAAAGGCCTGGAGAAAGAAGATGGCCTGAGGGAGTTCTAGATGGTGAAGAATTGCCAAAGCCACACAGGGCAGGCCTCAGTGAGGATGGGGGTGGGGCGGGGAGTACTGGTGCGAGTGAGCTGGAAGGACAGGAGAAATGAAGGTGACCTAGCAAAGGGCAGCGAGGAAGAGGGGAGCCACCCAGGTGAGTGTGGTGTCCCCCAAGCAAATGAAAAGACTGTTTGCAGGCTCAGGGGATAATCACCTGATCGGGTGCTGATTGGTTCAGTGTGAACATTTGAGAGGGAGATTATGTGCGTGCTCCCCTGACTCTCCTCCCCAAATGGCGGATATGACAGATGAGAACGTTTCGCAGAAGGGGAGAGCACTGTCACGTGCTGGAGTGACATCCTCGTGGCGTGTGACAGGTGCACAGGTCCTCCACCACCGGGAAGGGAAGCAGACAGGTGGATGTGGACGCCAGTTGGTAGAGAGCTGTGGCGGGAGGACAGGGGGATGGCATTTATTTCCGCAGAGGACCAGAAGACTGTGTCAGTTGGGTGAGTGGGAGGAGGGAGGAGTGTTGGAGGCTGAGAAGGTATGGCAGGGGCATCCGAGTGGGAGCGTGTGGCCCTGGGCAGAGCTCACTGATCCAGACCGGAGGTGTATCTATTCTGTCATGGTGCTGGGCTGCTCTGTGGTTTTTATTTTCTTCTTGTTCCTTCCATGCTTTCTGGATTCTTTAAAGTGTGTATGTATTTCTCTTTTACTCTAAGGAAATGATTCATAAAGCAGTCACTCATATTCTGTGCTATCCTTAGTTCTTTAAGGGCAGGCTCATACCTTACTCATCTTTGTGCCCTGACCCAAAATAGGTAGTGGGTAAATGAATGAATAAATACGGCCTTAGATTCTTCTCTAGTGCTGTGAGTTTTAAAGAAAAGTGAATTGGAAGTTCAGGATGAGTCATCGTTAAGTCTGATGGTCCCAGGTCAAAGAGAAGGGTGACTCATTGGAAATTCACATTGCTAGTGTCCGTCAGGACCATCACTTTGAGAATGATTTGGCATTCTCTCATGAATTTACCAGAACTTCCCCTTGCATACCCAATATGTCCATACGATGGGTGTTTGCAAGAGTGTTCATAGCACCACCGTTGGATGGAACCAGCACCACGAGTTCCCTCTGAGGAGAGTCAGGGCTCTCGTGGTGTGGTGCTTGCACATGGCACACGGCACCGGCGAGGAGTGGCCTACTGGCTTGTGCTCTCCAAGCATGAACCTTAGGAACTTACTGGTGGAAATAGACAAGGGCTGAAGTTGGTCAGGAACATGGTGCTGTTTTTGTAAACTCAAGCCTAAGCAAGCCACGTGTTTTTAAGTCATGGTTGCCTGTGGTGAAATTAAAAAGGCAGGAGTATGGTCTCTTGAGAATAGTTGCTGCTTCTGGGCAAGAAGGCACTTGGATGGGATGGAGAAGTTAGCAGATAGATCAGCCTTTTGGTACTATTCTGAAGTTGGAGGGGGTGGGTCATAGATACTTAATTTACTGTGCTGTTACGCTCTATAATGGATGATTCCAGTTGTGTTAAGAAAAAGTGTTACATGTAAAAGATAAGATGAGGGCAAACCCAAACAAATGAGAAAGCGGGAAAGATAAGGCCTTTGAGACCGTGAAAGAAACGTGTCTTTCCCTTACACTGTCAGGTGGTAAAGATGAAAAGTCAGGGGTGCCTGGGTGGCTCAGTGGGTTAAGCCTCTGCCTTCGGCTCAGGTCATGATCTCAGGGTCCTGGGATCGAGCCCCACATCGGGCTCTCTGCTCAGCGGGGAGCCTGCTTCCCCCTCTCTCTGCCTGCCTCTCTGCCTACTTGTGATCTGTCAAATAAATTAAAAAAAAAAATCTTTAAAAAAAAAAAAGAAAAAGATGAAAAGTCAGAGTAATTCTTAGAAGAGTTTGGCATTTCCTAATAAAATCAGATGATGGATCTGCCCTGTGACCTGCAGTCCTAGCTCCTTAGAGCCCCTTCCCCAGAGTGTTTGTTTGCAGCACTTTTCTGCTAGCAGAAACTGGAGACAACCTGGACAGTTGGCTGGACAAACTAGTGTAGCCCGTCTTCACCTGGTGGAATAGAATCCAGCCCCAGCAGCAAGGGAGCCCCAGGCACGTGTTGCTGAGCAAGGGCAAGCCAAAGACGTACGCAGTATGATCCCTTTTAGGTAAAAAAAGTAAACCGTCCAGTCTAGCCAGCAGATTGCTCAGCGGCAGAACTAGAAAGACCGGCGAGGGAGTGGTGAGCCAAGTGGCTAGCGGTCTGCCCGTGGACTAGATACAGAGGGGTGCCCGTGCTCAGTGCTTCAGAGCTGCCGGGGGTGTGTGGGGCGGATGCCCGAGCGGGTTCAGTGGTGTTTGTTACGATCAGACGATATTTAACGGAAACACGTCATTTTAACCAATTCTGAGTATATAGTTTAGTAAGCGGCATTGCCTTCCTCATGTCAAGCCATCTCTCTCTCCCCAACGGAAGCAATAGTTCCCCAGACGTGGCTCTTTTTACAAATATTTAGATACACTGTGTATTCTTTTCTATTTGTTATACTTCCTAATAACATTGTTTTAAGAGATCTGCCATCTCCGGAGGCTTTCTGCAGCCCTTCGTTCTGGCAGGGAGGTGGAGAGGCGGGGCCCTGAGGGTTCGCCCTGTGCGTTGCTGAGTGGTAGGGAGCAGGTGGACAGCGGATACCCTTTACCAGTTGTTAGGGAGGTAGTTTTAGATTAGAAAAGCTTTGCGGGGAGATACTGTTTTTTTCTTACTCGGTTTCGCTTTTCCCATTTCAAGGAAAAAGTAGAGCCAGAATTTGTTTCTGGGTAATCCTTAAATCACAGTTTGATCTGTAAATCTTCATATGTATACTAACTGTTATCACTGATTTGTATTTGTAATTATACATATATTTCTGTGGTTTTTTTAATTGCAGTAGCCTGGCACCGTGCCTTTTTCCATTTCTTATTTGAGGGCAGAACTACTGTATGTTTTTCATTCTAAGCTGGGTCTTTTGGTGATGTAGATAATTTACTTTTAGAAGTGGTTGAGGATGGCAGGGAAAGGAAATCGTATACAACCCCTCGAACATACTGTCTGTATGTCATGATAGGACTACTGACTTGACCAGACTTCACAGATGAATATTACAGTACTAACGGCTTGCGAACATTCCTGAAGAACCCAAAAGGATTGTACATTCTTGGTTCATTTTTCTTTTAAAGACAATGTCGTTCTTGCTAGGGTACATAGGTTCAGATGTCCTCTGGAAACAATACCTAGGATTTCTATAAATGTTAATATTTTTCTTAACATAGCTAAGTTATTACTATGCACTCGTGTTCTATTAATGGAAAATACTTTGACTGGATTCTCATCTCGAGGAGGAGTTGTTTCAGAGCCGGTGTGCGCTATTACGTAAGAGGTGAGATTAATACCGTCAGCGTGATTCAGTAGTGGGTTTTATCTGTCACTAATTAATGTTTTGTCATACGGTGACATGACTGTAACCTTTTGTATTTCATTTGTTCCCATTATCATTTGATAGTCTCACTAAGTATTACCTCCTGCTTCATTATAATAATTAGGTAGGTTTTCTGTGCTTTACTCCAGCTACTGTAGTTAATATGGCAAACGTTAATGAGACCCTATATGTTGCTTCTTATTGCTTTAAGAGGAATTATTCATGTTGTTCGCTGGATGTCTGAAAGCCAGTTGAACTCAGTGTAGTTTCAGCAGCCTAAACTCACACCAGAAAGTATTTTCTTTTATTACTCTTGGTTTCTTTGCATGCATAAAGCTAGACATTTGACTTTATGCCTTCAACTGTAAAGATTGACGTTTCGAGCATTTATTCCCTAGGATTTGTACTAGCAGCACGCTAATTGACTTAAACTAGGCTTTTCAAAATCTGCTTTAAAAATTACTGGCTTTATGAAAAGAAGTTTTTCCTAACTCGTCCTATTTTCTTTTCTTCCTGTCTTTTATTTTTCTTTTTTGTAAGCCAGGGTCTATCAGAATAAAATCCTGTGGGCCATTAGATCAGCTGTAGACATTTCGGGCCACGAAGTTTTAAAGGTTATTCCCTTATTATAGGTAATAAAGCAGAAGAAAGGCGTTTAGTAAGTGACCTGGCCCAAAATCACAGAACCAGAATTGGAATTAGCGACTCCTTCATAACTAGATTTTCTTGGATGGAGATATAGTCTTCATTAAATTTTTGAATAGGTAATGCATTCATGTAGTTCAGGTATCAAGAAATGTAAACAGATACGCAATAAAAATACTTCTTGGCTTTGAGGCCATCTGCTGCATCTTACTCAGTTGTTAGCTTCTTATTTATCCTTTCAGATCGTTATTATTTTTTTTTAAGATTTTATTTATTTGACAGAGAGAGATCACAAGTAGGCAGAGAGGCAGGCTTGGGGTGGGGCGGAGGGGAAAGCAGGCTCCCTGCTGAGCAAAGAATCCAATGAGGTGCTCAATCCCATGACCCTGAGATCAAGACCTGAGCAGAAGGCAGAGGCTTAACCCACTGTGCCACCCAGGCGCCCCCAGATCATTATTTTATGCTGTTACAGTTGTGTGTTCTCCTCTTCCTTTTGTAGACATTGGTTCTATACTGAGCACATTTTCTTGCACCTTGGTTTTTTCTGTTTTTTAAATTTCATGTATCTTGGAAATCACTTCATAAAGGTCTGCCACCCCACCTGGACCCTGGCCCCCATTCTGTCCTTTCCTCCTTCCCTTCTTGCGCCCCCACCCCCCACACCAGTTTCACTTTAATTTCTGAAAATACTCCTTAATGAGAATTATGGAAAGAACCCAAGTAGAAGATGCTTCTGACAAGTAATCTTAGAAGGTTTTGAGGAAGCTTTTCATTTCCTATTTGACTCAGTAATTTTGTCCCAGTCGCTATTAACAAAACCATTTCCCTCACCTTAAAATGTTACATTTGAGAACTAGATAGAAAAGGTGTTAAGAAATATTTGAGTTGGTTAAAAAAAATCTATTGATTTCTTTATGAAATCAGGGTAATTTGAGTCAGGGAACAGCTTGAAAGTTGCCTCTACGAGCTTCTCGTATAAACATGGATTATGTGAACAGATTGTAGAGGATTGCTTCACGCGATTGAAAGGACTAACCAACATTAAGACTGAACACTTGAGAGCAGTGCTTTTCAAATGAGGCTTTGTGGGTATGTTCATGGAGTTACAAGAATTCTAGGATCATATAATTTTTGTGCTTTTATTTTGATAATTAAAATCATTATAAGCATCTGCTGGACCATTTGCCTTATTACAACAAAATACTGTTAACATAATGACCCATATTTGCATTTAATATTGTGTTTAATGGTTTTAACTTTCAAGATGGTGTTTTTCAAACTGGGATCTGTGGGCATCCTGTCGGGGTCCTTGAGAATTTGACTTTTCTTGAAAATATTTTTCAAGTTTGAGAAACACTGTTTTAGAGGAATTTTGTATGTCTAAACAATTGATATATCAAACAGCAACCAACTTCATCTGTTTATTAATAAGTCCTTAATACACTGCCTTAAGCCTGTTGCAATGAGTGAGCTTCTGGTAGCTTTTGGATGGTGTACCATGCATTTGTCTGAAATTGATTTTTACAAGTATTTTCCCCCTAATATGAACCAACTTAATTCTTTCCAAGTTTAAATGGAATTGCTCAGTTTCTGATGTGTTTCTCATGTAAGAAATCTAGTTAACTTTGACTTTTTTTTCAATTTAGGAATTGATTCTGAAGGCCACGCCGCTAACTTTGTAGAAACAGAACAGATTGTGCACTACAACGGGAGCAGGGCCTCATTTGTACAGGCAAGTGGCTGTGGCCGTGAGGCGGCCCGCCAGTCCTCCTCTGCTTCCATCGGACTTTCTGCCCTGGTGTTGAAATTTCCCTCTGCTCCCCTGCTTCTTTTTTTTTTTTTTTTAAGATTTTATTTATTTATTTGACAGATAGAGATCACAAGTAGGCAGAGAGGCAGACAGAGAGAGAGGAGGAAGCAGGCTCCCCGCTGAGCAGAGACCCCGATACGGGGCTCGATCCCAGGACCCTGGGACCATGACCCGAGCCGAAGGTAGAGGCTTTAACCCACTGAGCCACCCAGGCGCCCTGCTCCCCTGCTTCTTAAAGTAATACTGTTGTCTGAGATGTGGGAAACGTTCCCTCAGAACAAAGCTACTCCCATCACCTGGCACTCACCTGCCCATATTTCCTGCCCTTGAATTAATTAAATCCTTACGTAGAGGGGAGGAGAGGAGGTCCAAGGGTTATGGAGGTGGAGCTACTTGCCCACTTCACCCTCTCCACTTCTTCAAGGCAGTGATGATGGGACAGAAGGTAGCTGGCGAGGGCGTTACGCACCTGGCGCATCTTTGGGGGACAGTCTGTCCCCTGTTGCCGCCTTACGGTGCTGTGGGTCGTTTGTTCTCTAGAACAGTAGTGGCTCAGCGTATTTGTAAGTTTATGAACATTCTCATTCGAGGACCAGTGAAGCATTTTCTGGTTTCATCATCATGTCCGACTACACGACAGATACAACTTAATAATTGCTTGTAGATAAATTCATTTATTTTGGAGCTTAGGGGAAACACAGAACTGTGGACTCCCCAGGTAGTAAACATGTATATAAAGCCGAGAGGAAAAGTCCTTTCTGAATGTATTCCCACGGAAGAGGAGCTGTAGGAGTGGGTACCCACAGACTGCTCTCATAGTTGGTAGATTGCTTTTCCCTTTGCGGTCAGTGATGCACATACACCCCAGACAGGAGATAAGCTGAGAAAAACAAGTTTGTGTGTATGTTTCTTTTCATATTTCTCTCTTTTCTTTTAGACTCGTGGATCAATACCCGTTTTCTGGTCTCAAAGACCAAACCTCAAGTACAAACCACGGCCGCTAATCAACAAAGTAGCAAATCACGTGAGTATCTTCTGTGCTTTTCTCCTTGGCTAAAAATAGGAGCTTCGTGTCATTGTGGTTTGTTCGTGGGGCACGAATCTGAATCCTCACGAGTCAGAACCCAGCATCTCTGCAGCCGTTCTCTTTGGTTCTGGCACCTGCTGAACCTCTGGCCTAGAGGCTGCAGAGATGGCACATTGGGAATGTGGAAAACTCATGGATGATTGGACGGCATGGCAGATTCAGACTTTAGAGGTCCTGTAAGATTTGCAGCTTCATGGCATTCTCTAGTCCTCGATGTGTTCTGTTTGAGGCCGTGCTCGGAATTAAAATATGGTATTTTAGCTCAGAATCCAGCGGCTTGTAATGGCTGCGTACGACATGCTGTTTAGAACGCCTTGAAGACCTGGTCCCAATCCTAGTGTCATTCTCTTGAATATACAAACAGGACATTGAAGGCGATACTTTAAAAAGTTTTATAAATATAGTGTCATTTGGTAAAGCATGTAACTCTTTTTTCTCTTTCTAGATGGATGGTTTCCAAAGGCATTTTGATTCACAAGTAATTATTTATGGAAAACAAGTAATAATCAATCTGGTAGGTTTCTTACTTGTTTCTTAGGGGGAACAAAAGAAAAAACTTCACATTTGAAAAAATACATGTACCATTTTAACTGTTTTGAAGTGTGCATTTCAGTGGCATTAATGTGCTTGACAGTGTTGTGCTCCTGGCACCATTGACCATTTCTAGGACTTTGCATCACACCAAACAGAAACCCAGTGTCCGCTAAACAATAACTTCCTGTTATCCTTCTGCCCTCAGCCCCTGGTAACCATTCTACTTTCTACCTATATAAATTTTCTTATTCTAAGTTCCCCATGTAAGAGGATCATAGAATACTGATTCAAAATTTCATTCCTTTTGAGGACTGGATAACATTCCTTTGTATGTTCCATATTTGGTTTATCCATTTATCTGTCGACAGACATGGGGTTGTTTCTACATTGTGTTACTGTGAATAATGCTGCTCTGAACATTGGTGTGCAGGTATCCATTTGAGTCCCTGCTTTCATTTCTTTTAGGGCTATACCTAGAAGTTGATTGCTGGATCATGTGGTGATTCTAGGTTTAACTTTTTAAGGAACCGCTGCAGTTCTTCACAGTGGCTGCTTTGTACGTTCCCACCGCAGTGTGCCAGGGTTCCGCTTTCTCCACATCCTTGCCAACACTTGTTATTTTCAGGGTTTGTTTTGTTTTGTTTTTTGATTATAGTTGTCTTTATGGTGGTGGAGTGGTGTGTCATTGTGGTTTTGATTTGCATGACTAGTGATGTTGAGCTTCTTTTCATGTGTATATTGGATAGCTGTATGTCTTCTTTGGAGATAGGTCTACTCAAGTATTTTGCTCATTTTAAATCAAGGGGTGGTTGTTTTTGTTGAGTTTTGGTAGTTCTTTATATATTCTGCAACTAATCCCTTATTAGATGTGCTTTGTAAATGTTTTCTCCCATTTTTTTGTGTTTTTTTGATAACTGCTAGTTATAGGTCTATTCAGATTTTCTATATTTTCGTGATTAATATTTTGGTAGATTGTTTCTAGAAATGTGTCCATTTCATCTAGCTGGCCTGGTTCATTGACCTACAAATGTTCATTGAATTCTGTTACAATCCTTATTATTTCTTCAAAATCAGTAGTAATATCCCATCTGTCATTCCTGATTTTTTTTTTAAGATTTTATTTATTTACTTGACAGACAGAGATCACAAGTAGGCAGAGAGGCAGGCAGAGAGAGAGGGGGAGAAGCAGGCTCCCTGCTGAGCAGAGAGCCCAATGCAGGGCTCGATCCCAGGACACTGAGATCATGACCCGAGCCAAAGGCAGAAGCTAAACCCCCTGAGCCACCCAGGCGCCCCTGTCATTCCTGATTTTAGTAAATTGAGTCTTCTCTTTTTTCTTGGTCATTATAGCTAATAGTTTGTCAGTTTTGATCTTTCAAAGAACCAAGTTTTGGTTTTATTAATTTTTCTCTATTTTACTATCCTTTGTTTATCTCTAATCTCTATTTCCTTCCCTTTGCTAGCTTGGAGTTTCATTTGCTGTTCTTTTTCATCCCTTAAAGTGTAAAATGAGGTCCTTGATTTAAGGTCTTTTTACAAAAAAATATTTTATTTATTTATTTATTTATTTATTTGAGACGGGGAGAGAGAGAGAATGTGAACGTGTTTGAGCAGGGGGATGGGCAGAGGGAGAGGTGGGAGAGAGAATCCCAAGCAGACTCTACTGTGAGTACGGAGCCCGGGGTGGACCTCCTATTTTACAACCCATGAGATCATGACCTAAGCCAGAATCACTAGTTGGCCATCAGCTGACTGAGCACCCAGGTGCCCTGGTCTTATGTTTGAATGTATGTGTTTATAGCTGCAAATTTCCCTTAGTGCTGCTTTGGCTTTATTTCATAAGTTTTGGTATATTTTATTTTGTTCTTATTTGTCTCTGTTTATTTTCTAATTTCTCTTGTGATTTCTTCCTTAACACAATGATTGTTTAAGAGTGTGCTGTTTAGGGACGCCTGGGTGGCTCTGTCAGTTAAGTGTCTGCCTTCCACTCAGGTCATGATCCCAGGGTCCTAGGGTGGAGCCCCATGTCATGCTCCCTGCTCAGCGGGGAGTCTGCTTCTGCCTCTTCCTCTGCCCCTCTCACCCCCACTTGTACGTTGGGATACTCTCTCAAATAAATAAATAAATAAAATCTTCAGGAAAAAAAGAATGTGCTGTTTAATTTCCTCGTATTTATGAAATCTCTGGTTTTTCCTTGTTACGGAGGGTTAGCTTCATTCCAGTGCGAATAGAAGAGATACTTTGTATGAGAGTTACTGAATTTGAATATTATGAAGACTGGTTTTGTGGCCTAACAGCTACTCTGTCTCAGATACTGTTCCACGCACACTTGAGAAAAATGTGTATTCTGCTGTTGTTGGGTGGAGTGTTTTGTTTATGTCTCTCGGGTCTGATTTGTTCGTGGTCTTTAGGTTGTGTTTTCTTACTGATCTGTCTGGTGGTTCTGTCCGTTACTGAAAGGGAGCTGTTGACATCTCCAGCTATTGAGAATATTTCTCTCCCCCTTCAGTTCTCTCAGTGTTGCTTCCTGTATTCTTGGGCTCTGATGTTTGGTGCGTGTGTATCTTCATTGTTTTACCTTTGTGATGAGTGGACTCTTCTATCACTATATAATGTTATTCTTTGTCCTTACAATAGTTTTTGACTTGAAATCTGTTTTGTCTCATGTTGCTAAAGCTGCCCCTGCCCTGTTTTGATTACTAATTATTTGCATGCAATATCTTTCCATCCTTTTACTTCCAGAATACTTATGTTTTTATTATTTTTTTATTTTTTTTTTAATATTTTATTTATTTATTTGACAGACAGAGATCACAAGTAGGCAGAGAGGCAGGCAGAGAGAGAGGTGAGAGCAGGCTCCCTGCTGAGCAGAAAGCCCGATGCGTGGCTCGATCCCAGGACCCTGAGATCATGACCCGAGCCAAAGGCAGAAGCTTAACCCCCTGAGCCACCCAGGTGCCCCTTTATTTTTATTTATTTATTTATTTATTTATTTAAGATTTTATTTATTTGACAGAGAGTTCACAAGTAGGCAGAGGCAGGTGAAGAGAGAGGGGGAAGCAGGCTCCGTGCTGAGCAGAGAGCCCAAAGTGGGGCTCAATCCCAGGACCTTGAGATCATTACCTGAGCCGAAAGCAGAGGCTTTAACCCACTGATCCACCCAGGCACCCCTACTTGTGTTTTTAGATCTAAAGTGATTGTTTTATACAGCATATGGTTGGATCATGTTTTTTAATTCATTCTGTCAGTCTGTGCCTATTGATTATAGAGAGTTAATCCATTTATACTTGAAGTAATTCTTTGTAGAGACTTAGTTCTGCCATTTTGCTCTTTGTTTTCTGTACGTCTTATAGTTTTTTTTTCCCCTTGTCTTCCTCTATTACTGTCTTGTGTTGAATTTTTTTGTAGTTATATATTTTGATTACCTTCTCATTTTCTTTTGTTTATATTCTGTGGATATTTTCTTTTTGGTTACCATGAAGGTTACATATAATGTTTTAATTGAAGTTGTAATATTTGGGGCACCTGGGTGGCTCAGTTGCTAAACGACTGCCTTCTGCTCAGGTCATGATCCCAGGGTCCTGGGATTAAGCCCTGCATTGGGCTTCCTGCTCAGCAGGTGGGGAGCCTGCTTCTCCCTCTCCCACTCCCCCTGCTTGTTTTCCCTCTATTGCTGTGTTCCTCTCTGTCAAATAAATACATAAAATCTTAATAAAAAAATAAATCAATAAAGTTGTAATATTTAATTTGAATTGGTACCAGTCAATTTCAGTTTGCATACAAAAACTTGATTCCTGTAAAGCTTTGTCCCTCTTTATGTTATTAATGTCACAGATTACATCTTTATACATTTTGTTCCCAGTAATGTAGATTTATAATTTCTTAAATGCATTTGACTTCTGAGTCCTATAGAATATAAAAAAAATGGAGGTATGGATCAAGATTATAGTAATGCTGCCTTTTATATTACCTTCACAGGAAATCTGAATACCTTCACATGGCTTCAGCCTGTTTATATTCTTTCATTCCAACCTGAAGGATCCCTGTTAGCTTTCCTTGTAGCCTGGGCCCAGTGATAATGAGCTCTCTGAGCTTAAGAACGTCTTAATTTCTCTCATTATTATTATTTTATTTTACTTATTTATTTATTTAAAAGATTTTATTTATTTATTTGACAGAGAGAGTCACAGCGAGAGAGGGAACACGAGCAGGGGGAGTGGAAGAGGGAGAAGCAGGCTTCCTGCCAAACAGGGAGCCCAATGTGGTGCTTGATCCCAGGACCCTGGGACCAAAGGCAGACGCTGCCCTGACTGAGCCACCCAGGGACGCCATTCTCTCTCATTTTTAAAGGACAGTTTTGCCAGATACAGAATTTTTGGTTTAGGGTTCTTTTCTTTCAGTGCTTTAAGTAGGTCAGTCCACTGCCTTCTAGCCTCCAAGTTTTCTGAAGAGAAACGGGCCTGTAGTCCTATTGAGAATACTTTGTATATAATGTGTTTTTTTCCTTCTTGTTGCTTTTAAGATCCTCTCTGTCTTTCAGTAATTTGAATAGAATGTGTTTGGTATGGGTTTCTTTTATCATACTTGGAACTGGGTGAGCTTCTTGGATTCGAAGATTTATGTCTTTCATCAAATTCAGGAAGTTTGGGGGCATTTTTTTTTTTTTTTTTCCTTCTTTAAAAAAAGACCTCTAGCTTTTTCTCTCTCTCTTTGCCTTCTGGGACTCCCAGAATGGGTGTTTGTCCCCTGGTGATATCCCAGACATCTCCAGGGCTCTGCTCACTTTTCCTTAATGCGTTTTTCTTTCTGTTCCTCAGACTTGGCTAGTTCATTTGTCTCATCTAGAAGTGGGCTGATTTGATTTTCTTCCTGCACAAATGTGCTCCTGAAACTCTGCTAGTGAATGTTTAATTTCTGTTTGGTACTTTTCAGCTCCAGACTTACTTTTTAGTTCCTTTGAATGATTTTTGTTTGTTTGCTGGTAATCCTATTTTGTTCATATACTGTTTTCCTGGCTTCCCTTTGAGCCCTGTGTTTTCCTTTAGCCCTGAGCATATTTAAGACACTCGTTTTTTTAAAATCCTTTTTCTGATAAGTCTTCTGCAGGGATGGTTTCTGTCAGTTCATGCTTCTCAACTGAATAAGCCTTGTTTTCCTGTCTTTTGTTATGCTTTGGTATTTTTGTTGAAAATCAGGCACTGGGTGGTTAGGATACGGTAACTCTGGAAGTCGCATTCTCCTTTCCCTGGATTTTGTGGTGTTTTTGTTTCGATTGTTGAAGGCTGTAGTAATCCATTTGTTTTCAGATGTTTCCCAACCATTTTTGTAAAGGCTCCCTTGTTTATGCTCACTGAAGCCTCTGTTCTTTGAGCGCATGTTCAGCTAATGTTTTGACAGAGATTTCTTTGAATGCCAGGAACCAAAACTGACAAAGCCAAAAACCAAAAAAGAGAGAACAGCCCCATCTCTGAGTTTCTGCAGCTGGTTCTGTGCAGTTCTTCTCTGGGTAGCCAGGCTAGCCCGAGCATACCACTCAGCCTGAGGGAAGGGCTCCAGGTCTTCTCAGGAACTTCCAGACGTGCCTCTTGCCTGGGTGTACATGTGGCATTCTAGAATCCTCCTTATGCGTGGCTGCTTCTGAATGACCTCATTTCCCAGACTATCACCCCAGCTTCTCCTGTAGTCTGTAGATGGTCTGTTTTATATTTCCCGAGATCCCTTGCCCTAGACAGCTGTTGGATTGTAGTTCTCTTGTGGCGTGTATGAGCCATGTCCACGTCGTGCCCTGCTCGTGTTCAGAGTTGTGCGAGGCAGAGACAGGCAAACCCATCCTTCAGGTCAGAACAAAACATAGGCGGTAACTTGCAGATAAGGTCTGGGGCCCTCTCTCCGGTTTGAGGAGGTGAACCGAGAACTTGGTTGTGGCTTAGGACTGAGACCGTCACTGCCCCAGGGACTGGGTGGCGTAAGGGCAAGTAAAAATGTCACAGAACTGTCCTACAGTTTTGAAGATAGCTTTTTTTTTTTTTTCCCCAGTCGGGCATTTGCTTCATTGCTTTAAACCTTTGATTGTTTTCCAGAGCTACAGAGGCGGCTCAGATAGCTTCTGTTGTTTTCAGTGTTTCTGTGCGAGAACAAGAGCTTGGAGCTTCCTGGTCTACCATTTTGCTGATGTCGCTTGCTCCTTTTCAAGGAACTTAAAGCTGTGGTGTTTTTCATCTTTTACAGGTGAATCAGAAGGGCTCAGAAAAACCACTTGAACAGGCGTTTGCAACAATGGTGTCTTCCTTGGGCAGTGGAATGATCAGGTACCTCCCTACAAATCAGGTCTTTTCGGATTAGATGTGCACTTACATATCCGGGGTCCCTCCTCACCCATGGGCATCCGTTCCCACACCCCCAGTGGATGCCCGAAACCACACATGGTCCTGAAGCCTACGATTACCGTGATTTTCCTTAGACACACATATCTATGATAAAGCTTAATACGTAATGTCGGCCCAGTAGCAGATAAACTGATAATAGAATAATAAGAATAATAGTAGAATAATTAAAACAATATACTGTAGGAAGAGCTGTGTGAATGTGGTCTCTCTCAAATTACCTTGCCGTACTGTAGTTGTGCGTATTGTGATGATGTAAGGGGCTCGGTGCCCAGGTGATGAAGAAAGCCCAGTGACGTGGGCACTGTGATGGAGCGTCAGGCCACTGGCAGCCTGACCACATGTCGGAAGACCAATTACTTTCAGACCATAGTTGACTGGGAGCTAAAGCTGTGGGAGGTGAAACTGTGGATAAGGGGAAACTACTGTATACACCAGTACATAGATCTCACTAGATATACAGTGTCCCCCACTTTCCAAAGGTCTGTGTCACACTGCTTCGCTTTTACAAAAGACCCACGTTGCCTCCTGTTGTCACTAACCGAAAGAGCCAAAGACGATTTTTCACTTTTTTTTTAAGATTTTGTTTATTTATTGACACACAGAGATCACAAGTAGGCGAGAGGCAGGCAGAGAGAGAGGGGGAAGCAGACTCCCCGCTGAGCAGGTAGCCTGATGTGGGGCACGATCCCAGGACCCTGAGATCATGACCCGAGCTGAAAGCAGCTTAACCCAGTGAGCCACCCAGGTGCCCCTGATTTTTCACTTTTTTGAGGTCATTATCAAGCTGATGGAGGGGGAGGTCTTCCTAAGAGCAGAGTGGCCTGTGGCATGAGGCAGACGTTTGGACAGCAGGGGGCGCTCTTTGTTCATGTTACGTTAGCTCATGAAAAGTTCCGGTGGAACACTCCACTTTCCGGTAGTAGTGGAGTCCTGAATTATAGCTCAGCTTCCCCCCCAGCAATACTAGGTCAAAGCATGATTCTTTTGGCTTGAAGTTTTTCTCTGACACAGTTATATTGCCCAATAACTTCTTAAGGGTCAGATTTTAATTTGAATTTTGTGATAGTTCCTGATCAAAATCCCCTCTGTGAGTCTGTGTGTCGCGTGGCCACTGGGTCATGAATTTGGGTTCCTCGTGATCATTTGGTGTGATCTCTGTGGTCCTGACCCCCACATGAGCTGGAGAAGTTTACACTGGCGTGGAGGCCTTGTCGGGAGTGGCAGATTTGCCTCTGTACGTCACCAGGCTGCACTTGCAGACTCTGCGTGGCCTTGTCAAAAGAGGGGAATCCTAGAACATCCCACAGCTGCCCTGTGGAAAGGTGCGAGGTCATGAGTCAGCCCGTTTGGAGTTTGCTGCAGCAGGAAAGTGGGCAGGAGGTGAGGTGCTGTGGTAGGAAGTGGTCACAGGCACTGGGGGGAAACTTTCCAAAGAAATAGTTTGGGGTTATTTAGGGAGAAATTTTTTTAACCTATGAGAAATTTTAAGCATCCACAAAAATAGAATGATATAATGAACCTTTGGGGAAGAATTTAAGTGTCTTTCCTCCAACTCAAAAGCTCTATCAAATTCGTCAGATCCCCACGCCATGCATACTTCTGCTTTCTCACAGTGGAACTTTCTTAAACACTCTCTGGAGGACTTAGAGGAACTCAGAATATACCTTAGACCTGAAAAATGAGAATCTCCGGGTTTGGGGTCCAGCGTGCGTACTCTGAGAGCAGTTTGTCTGCTGGCTGCTCTATACCCCCTCGTGAAGGTCCTCTGTCTTGCCCCAGGGGCTTCCTGAGACACACTTGTCTCAGAGTCGTCTTGGGTTTGTAGCAGCCGCTGACTTTGAGAACGTGCAGTGTCCGTCAGGGTCTAGAGTTAATGCCCTTGGTGTTTCTGGGAGCTTGGAGGCCACACACAGCCCTCACCTAGAGAGTAAAGACCCAGAGCTGTTGTCATTTTCCTCCTGTGAGCTTGAAAGACCACTAGACAGAGGAGCATATTAAAGAAGTATATTTTTTATTTTAGTAAATAATTTTTAATTTAGGAAGTCCATATTCTAGAAAGCAGGGGGAGAGATCAGTCTGTTGGTTAAAGGGAAATTAAATGGTACACTTACTGTCATGTTTCCGATATCGGTCTATTGGATTGATTCACTTCTTAGTGGTTCAGTGGTTGTTGCTTTGAATACATTAAGTGAATGACCAGAAGGAGAAAGGTCATGTGCTTGCAATTCTGAGTAACGGTGAGCCTCGTTAGCAATGGGAAGTTTTCCTTTTGGGAACCGAATGAGAAAATGAGCCGTGTAAACTGACGTGTCTCTGAGCATTTCTTCCTAGAACTTGGAAAGAAGCAGAACTGCTTGACTGTTGGGGTCAGAAGCAAAATAATGTATTTATAGTCCTGTGTTGCCAAAACGTTACTCTTCAGTTCATTCTTAGGAGATACCAGTTTGATTTTAGAAGGATGTACGCTAAGAATCCCAGCGCACTTAGGTGCTAGCCGGCTGCTTACGTCCTTCAAGCCAGTCTGGGGCTGTCGCTCTTGTGGGAGTGCCCTGACGCGACTGTCCCTCTGTCACTGTGTGGGAGCAGCTTCTGGAAAAGCTTGCCCCACTCCAGCTTCACCAGGTCTAGCCTCGGGGCTCGCTAACCTCTGCTTTTTTACCGATTTTTAAGGAGACCGTTCTCACCTCAACAGTGAGATAACCATTAAGGTGGCAGGAGCTACCAGACCTGCTTCGAAGCCCACACCCTCCTGATGCTCCTTCGGTCTGTTGGAGCAGAGGGAGTGATGTAGGGAGTGACACGAGGGCGGATGCCTCCTCTGAATTTCACTGTGTAGGCCAGAGCTCGCCGTCCTTCCAGTCCTCCTAGTTATGCCCTGACCTGGTTCCTGACTCCCTTGACTTTCAGGAATGGGTTCATGATTTTCTTTTCCCCCCGCTCTCAGTTGGCAACATTTTCCAGCTCATAGCAGGACACCTTCACTGTCAGATGTGTTCTGACCTTCAGAATTGGGCCTGTTAAATACCAGATAACAAAAAGCAATGAACTAACCCATTGCCGATGGGCAGGAAGAGTCCCTCTGCCGCATCTATGTGAGATGTACACATAGTGCTAAAGACGGCGGATGTTTTGATTTGTTAAAGAAGGTGATGGACAGTAAGCGACCAGAGTGGGGGCCATGCTTCCTCGGTGCTTCTGACAAACCCCAGTACAGATCCAACACGTGTCGAGTCCTCCTTGCACTGATTTGACCGTTTTGAACATTTTAACTGATTTGAAAAATAATAAAAAGGGACCTTGGGGTCCCTGGGGGTAGGGAATGTACCCTGGCTATTCATTTGGCTACGGCTCCTTTATATTATTTACCCAATTGCTGTACCGGAGTTCACTTCTGCTTTGTGCTGGGCTGCTTCTCTATTCCCATCTCAGGGCATGTAGAAGAACACGTGAAGATAGAAGAGAGTGTGTGTGTGTGTGTGTGTGTGTGTGTGTGTGTGTAAACCCCACACACAGTGAAGAAGAAAATCTGTATGCTCAAACAGAGGCAAATCAGCTTATGAACATAGTAGTAGAAGGAAAGTGACTAATCTTTGGTCAGTTTCTGCATATTTTTCTTTTGGTAGATACGTTGCCTTTGACTTCCATAAAGAATGTAAAAATATGAGATGGGATCGACTAAGTATTCTCGTGGATCAGGTAGCAGAAATTCAAGATGAACTAAGGTAAGCTATATCATTCCCCCATGGAGGAATATTTTTAAATTCTTAAAAGCAACCCAAAGCCAGGTATTTTCGAATCAGCTGCCACTTATTTACAAAGCTGTACATAATTGAAGTTCATGTACTAGTATTTTTTTTTTTTAAAGATTTTATTTATTTATTTGATAGAGAGAGATCACAAGCAGGCAGAGAGGCAGGCAGAGAGAGAGGAGGAAGCAGGCTCCCCGCTGAGCAGAGAGTCCCAATGCGGGGCTTGATCCCAGGACCCTGAGATCATGACCTGAGCCGAAGGCAGCGGCTTAACCCACTGAGCCACCCAGGCGCCCCACTAGTATTTTTATATTCAGTTGTATTCACTGAGCACTCTTTCGCAGATCTCTGATTTTGTCTCTGTAAGGATGGTGTGTAATGGCTTTTCTGCTTCATAATACAGGTTCAGTTAAGTGTTCTTTTTCATACTAAGCATCTGGCTTGTTTTCGTTCCTCTTCCTACCACAAAAGATTGAGTCGCAGTGAATCACTCTGGGCATATATATTCTTACTTCTGTGAAAATTATTTCCTAAAATAGATTCTTGAGAGTAGGATTAATGGTTCAAAGGGTCTGAATAACTTTATGGTACTTTCCGTGCGTGTTTACCGTGTTATTTACCACGTTGGCTCCCGGGTTTGTGGTTGCCTCAGCACATGTCTTCACTTACTCTAAAGCCAGAAGAAATCATGTTGTTCTGCCTGTGTATAGTTCTATCCCTGGCAACCCACGGGCACTTTTTCATGTTAGTTGCACTGTAACATAGTAGAGCTTTTTCCCTCGGCATTTCTGTTTTTAGAAATAATATTTTATACATATTAAGTAGTAGACTGCAGTTAGTTAAATCTGCTCTTTTCCTACGAGGTTTTGTCCGGAGCAGCTAGTGAAGGGGGACTGACATACTTTGTTACTGGGCTAGAGTGACACCAGCTGGACTTGGGACACTGTCAGAGGAGGGGGCTCCTTTGGTTTGCCCCTTAATTGCTGTCGTGCAAGAGTGTGAGAAAGGAGGACTGACCCCAGGATCTCTCTCCCTCCCCACCCACTGTGTTCCATGGGGACAGTGGAGCTTTACCAATGACCTGCACATGACCTCTCTGGACATTTTTCCTAGGGGTTTTTGGGGAAGTGGAAAGAATCTGGGCTTCGGGGTTTTACACATCTCATTTTGAAATCTGCTTTTTTAAAAAAAAGATTTAGATGTATTAGCACATATGAGCAGGAGCAGAGGGAGAGGGACAAGCAGACTCCCCACTGAGCATGGAGCCTGACTTGGGGCTCTGTCTCATGACCCTGAGATCATGACTTGAGCCCAGATCAACGGTCAGGTGCTTAACTGACTGAGCCACCCACAAATCCCCAAAATCTGTGTGCTTCTTATTAGCTGTGTGACCCAGGGGTGAGTTAGTTACCTTCAAACCTTGGTTTCTCCATTTGTAAAGTGGAGATAATATTACTACCTTATAGGCTCAGTGTACAGTTGAAGAAGTAATATTTGTAAAATACCTAGTATGTATTTTTGAGGTCCTCATGGGGTGCCGGCGCCCCCCTGCACTCATGGCCACAAACGTACTACACACACCAGCTCCAGACGAACCTCACCAACTCTGCGTGACCCTCATGTAGATTTTTAGCCTTGGCATTTTCTTGGGGGCCCTTACTTTTAAGGTCATGATTTTTATTTGGCCCCTGGTAAATCTCTTGTGTTTCCCTGCCCATTCTGATTTTGGGGAGTAATTGCAGTAAAACTACTGTTACCTGGTGTTCATGGCGTGCTCTGTCCGTGCACTCTGCTGAGCACTTGGCGCACGGTGCGTGACCTTATTCCAATCTTGGAGCAGCGCCGCCTTGGGTTTGTGGATGAAAACTTTGGTTCGGAGAGATGAGGGTGATGATTTGAAGTTACCCAGCTGCTAAGTTGCCTGAGGAGCTAAGGCCCGGGGCCTTGGCTCTTCCCCGCCACAGGGCGCTTTGTCCAGTTTTTTAGTTCATAGATTATCTGGGGAAATGTTAAAAATTAACAAAACACAGGAATCGGTGACCATGGTTGGCTCCAGTGCAGACACCTGGGTGGTGAAGGGAAGAAAGGAAATGTGATTTTTCAAATACCCCGTTGAATCTTTTCAACTTCGTAGTATTTGCATATATTACCCATTTTTAGAAAGATTTTAAAAGTGTTCTTAATGCACAATTTCCAGCCCTTCCTTGCTTCGGAGACTCTGACTTGAATTTATCTTAAGGCCAAGTATGTTCATTTCTGGCAAACAGGTCAGGGAATTCTGATACGGACTGTGTAGGGTCATGCTTTGAGAAATCTTGATACACAGGGCCATGATGAACAGCTGTGGCAGAGGGGTTCCTGCTTCTGGCCTCAGCTCTTCCAACTTCTTTTTGGCTCTCCAGTCATCCCACACCCCTGGGCCACGCGCTTCCCATCCGACCCTTGAATGCGCCGGTTTCCCTGATGTTCTGATGGGAGCCGTGACGCGAGAGGTGGTCGTCAGTGTGTCAGACTGACTGTGGTATGAGGGTGTTTATACAAATATGTTGTAGTTATTTTCTAGTGGATGCGGCCGGCATGGTGGTGACGAGCCAGGAGGGCGTGTTCCGCAGCAACTGCATGGACTGTCTGGACAGAACCAATGTGATCCAGAGCCTTCTGGCTCGCCGCTCGCTGCAGGCCCAGCTCCAGGTGCGTGCGCTGTCTCTTCTCAGTCCGCAGTAGAGCCCAAAATGGAAGAAGCTGCGTCCTTTAAAACCTTATCAAGAACCATTACAGAAGCAAAGGACAGAAAACATTCACGGTGCTGCCCAGGCTGACCCAGCTTTTGTGTTTTTGTCTTCCTGTCCGTAGATGTGCACATCTCCATACCTGTGGTCAGCGTATGTGTACGCAGTTTGGGGGCTTTTTTTTTTTTTTTTTTTTTAAGATTTTATGTTTAAGTAATCTCTCCACCCATCGCGGGGCTTGAACTCAAGATCCTGAGATCAAGAGCTGCGTGCTCCACCGACCGAGCCAGCCAGACGCCCATTTCCAGAGTTTTAAATTCTGCCTTTTCCTGCAGGATTTTGAGGAGCCATAGTTGTTTTAAGAGTTGCAGTTACTAAGTTGCTACGTTTTTGGCTTGTAAATTGTACTGTAGAGACCAAATCTGCACATGTTAGTATTAACGTGAATTCTTCCCTTTGGGTTAAGGGCTAGAAGTGGAATTTACTGCGTTAAAGAGAATACGCTTTCCAAGAGGGTCGTAGCAGTTCCCCCTGACACCAGCGAGCACGATAAGTGAGTCCGTTTCATTGAACTCTGGCCCGCTGAGCTGTTTTTATTTAAAACTTTCTTTCCTGTTAGCACAGAGTAGCACCTCAGGGTGGTTTTCGTGTGCATCTGTTTTATCACTAGCTAGCAGTACTGACCTTCAGGTAAGAAGTTTCCAGCACAACTTTGCTTTACCACCAAGACTGGGCTATTGAGAAGAGGAGTTATAAATATTTTCTTGTGTTTATCCTTGGAATTAAAAATGTAAAGCCCAGATTTCCAAGTCAGATTGGCCTTTATCACGAGGGGCACACAAAATGCACACCAGGTGGTTTCTTGCCTGAATGGTAACCTTTGTTTATGACAGTTCAACTTTGTTTAGGATAATTTTGTGACACCAGGAGGACATTATGGAGGTAGAACACCTCCTTTAAAATGAAGTGCCCTTAAATACTAAGCAACGCAGACCAAACGAGCGCTTTCCCTGCTTGAGCGCGCTCTAGTTCGTGTCTTACCCGTCCTCCTCGTGCTGTGGGACTGACGTCAGGGTATATTTTTTAATAGAAATGACAGTAGCAAAAACACCCAGAACAGTTTCCAAGCCCAATAAACAAAAGCTTATTGAACCAGGTTCTGTAATCTATACATAACTCTTCCGTGGGCTGAATGTGGTGTTGTAAAATCTGAGCAACCTTCCGAGAGTCTTGGGGCGTCGGTGCCAGCTGGTGGGGGGCCTCCAGCCGTGCCCTCCCGCTGCCAGCTGAGGGTTACCACGAGGGTTCCTGCGCTGTCTGGGGTGGGAGCGCGGCTCTGAGGTAGAGATAGTGAGCTGTCAGCTGAGGTGCAGAGAAACAGTGGGGACTCTGAGGTGGTTGAGGTCCGAGACGAGGACCCAGGCTGGGGCTCCTAATCTGTGCCCTTCGGGGAGTCCACAGGGGGATTCAGCATGTCCAGGAGTCCTCTGAGGTCATGTGCGAGGGGTTGCTGTGTGTGTGCAGTTTGTGGGGAGGTGGGTGTGGGCATGTGGCACGAGGCCCCAGGAGGGGTGGGGCTGGGGCTGGGGCTAGGGGAAGCTTGGGGCCAGGAGTGGTAGGGACGCTAGAGGGTGGAGGCAGTGAGAGGTTTGGGGGCGGCCGGGAAGGAGGAGGTGATGGCTGGGGTCCTGTTGCCACTCTCCCTTTGGCCCCTCTGTTCCTGTGGGGCTGGGGCACAAGGTGGGCGCAGGGGGAGGAGTCCTCAGGGGAGGCCGTGGTGAGCTGCTGCTCCCCCAGCCCCCCACTGCGTCATAGGCAAGGACTGCGTCTCCCGCCTGCAGCCAGGGACCATGTGGTACCGTGTGGGACTGTCTGCTCTGGTCCTGAATCACATGCGCTGCAATCGGTTACACTTGCATATGGTGTGCTTCTTATTCCAGAGACTAGGAGTTCTGCATGTGGGACAGAAGCTTGAAGAACAAAATGAATTTGAGAAGATTTATAAAAACGGTAGGTAATTTCCTTGATAGAGGCAAAGTTACTCAAATGGTGAATTAAATTAATAGTTTGGATTTAGGAACGCCAGTTGTCGCGTAAATCACTGTCCGTTGACTTTTCCGTGTTTTCACAGCCTGGGCTGACAACGCAAATGCTTGTGCCAAGCAGTACGCAGGCACCGGTGCCTTGAAGACGGACTTCACCAGGCAAGCCCTGCTTTTCTAGTAGCGCTGTAGGTCCACAGGCCTCGAGTCCCATCAGGACGCCCCGGCAACCTTTGGACTGCAGCAGAGCCCCAGTCCCTGGGGCCGTGGTGTCACAGTGGTCAAGTCAGGCTTGCTGGGAGGGGAGGCCCAGGTGCTGGAGGGTTCTAAGCCTCCGTGGATGGTTATGCTGTGTGGGAGCATAACCACCCCTCCCAAAGCTCGCGGTGCACCCAGGTCACTGTGGTCCCTGGTGGGGCTGAGGCTCTGAACCTCGGGGGAGCAGCTAGGCGATGTCCTTGTGGCTTCCCAGGACTGGACTGGTCAGGGAGAGGGCAAGGCACTGGGGATTTGTTGCAGGTATGGGTCTTTCTCTGCCATAGGGATTCCCTGGGAGCAAACTAGGATTCCTAGTCTCTGCTGTGTTCTGACCACCTAACCTGGGCTCGGTGTTTCTCTTCGCATTTCTTACCTTTGCAGCTGGCCCCCGAGTGTTTCTCTCGTTGTGCCTAATAATAGGTAACATTTTAGGAGAAGAATGTGTATTTCTTGGAACCGCTAGAGGTTTCCTTTGTGAGGTGTCTCCTTTATACTTTCAGGGCTGATTTTTAAAATCTTTGTAACTCACTGATCTCCATACCCCATACTTACTGGCCACAAAACCATGGGAGAATTTAATATAGAGATCTGTAACTCAGAATTCACATCTTTTAACCAGAACCGGGAAGAGAACCCAGCTGGGACTTCTGATGGACGGCTGGAACTCCCTGATACGGTATTACAAGAACAACTTCTCGGATGGCTTTAGGCAGGTGGGTTTGTGTTTGGTGCTCATGTTTGTGCCTCAGGTGGTCCTATCTTTGTATTTTTCTTGAGTAATGGAATTACATCACACTGGAAGTTACTGATTTTCTTCCTCTGTTCTAGGATTCCATAGACTTATTTCTTGGGAACTACTCAGTGGATGAATTAGAATCTCATAGTCCTTTAAGTGTTCCACGGGATTTGAAATTCCTGGCCGTAAGAAACCTTTGTTTTTCAAGCTTTTTTTTTTTTTTTTTTTAAAGATTAATTGATTTGAGAGAGAGCGTGTGTGTGCAAGCGGCTGTGGGGAGGGGCAGAGGGAGAGCGAGAGAGACTCTCAAACAGACCCTCTGCTGATCATGGAGCCCGACTCGGGGCTTGGTCCCATGACCTGAGAAAATGACCTGAGCTGAAATCAAGAGTCGGATGCTTAACCGACTGCACCAAGTAGATGCCCCTGTTTTTCAAGTTTTTAAAAGCATTATGTCTGACGGTGTAGATGGTGCCGACTCCCCTTGATTGAAAATTTTATAATTGTTCTAAATGGACTGTAAAAACTTTGTTTCCCCGAGGAGAAGATGAGGGAAAGGAGTGAAACAACTGTGGGGCGTTTGTTTTCAGCTACACTTCATTGTCTTGCTATGCGAGAACACGTGAGCAAAAGGGAGCCTGGGGAGCATGGAAGGTTTCTCGTTTCCAGAAGACCCCACTCCCCGTCACAATCAGGGGTTGCTGGGGCCCAGTAACATGGAAGGCAGAGTGTGTTTTTGACACTTCTCTCCTTTTTGACTCCTCTGCTCACCAGACTTTGCAGGAGCCCCTCTGAGGTCCCATCCAGCGGACACAGTGTCCCCGAATGGAGCTGGCTGGTGTCCCAGCCTCTCATGTGGGCAGCCCTGCTCACTTAGCCCTCCCGGGTTTGGACCAGAGCCAGGCTTCTTCAGATGTGTCCTAATCAGTCTGAAGACTCAGGCAGCTGTGATTGAACCCCCCCAAATAACGATATTGTGTGTATCAGGTTGCAGAAAGGTTTTACTCTTTTTTAAGCGCAGCTGACTTCACAGCCTTCGAGTAGCGTTCTTAAGTGATGGCATGTCTCTTCATTTTTCTTTTCAGTTGCCTATTATCATGGTTGTTGCCTTCTCCATGTGCATTATCTGTTTGCTGATGGCCGGTAAGTCCGCTCTTCCTTCACAGCCTCACGCTGAGTTCTGAGAATGTGGCACTTCCTTGTACCGAGTCTTGAGATGGCGAGTTCACGGCACTTGCTGTTTCCCTGTTAAATTTCGTGAGCAAAGCGAGCAGATGTGATTAGTCCTTAGATGTGACAGGAGGAAGAATATAGGCTCACAAATACTGATAATCGTTGTTTTGTTTCTTGTTTTTGTTTGTTTTTTTAATACTCTTTTTTAAAATAATTTTTAAATTTTTTTATAAACATATAATGTATTATTTGCCCCAGGGGTACAGATCTGTGAATCGTCAGGTTTACACACTTCACAGCACTCACCATAGCACATACCCTCCCCAGTGTCCATAACCCCACCACCTTCTCCCTATCTCCCTCCCCCTGGCAACCCTCAGTTTTTTGTTTTTTTACCTAACGTTTAAACTTTACGTTTTTTACCTCTCAAGTGATACATAAGAATTACAGAAAATACAGTTAGGCAAGACAGAAGAAAATATTATTCATCATCCTGACTTCTAGAGATAAGCTAACTACTCTTATATTTTAATGTTTTAATCTTTGTAAGTGTGTGTGATTTTTTTTCACAAGTGAGATACACATTTTTTGTAATGTTTTCACTGAGCAATAAAAGCATTTCCCCATGTTCTTTACTTGTAATGCCTGCGTTAAAATCCATTTATGAATATATAGTTTATTTAACCAGCCACCTGTTATTGGACAAATAAATGCTGTTAGTAGAGGAACACACTACTCACCATCAAATTTTAGTAGGTTGAGGGGCGCCTGGGTGGTGCAGTCAATTAAGCATCTGACTCTTGATTTCAGCTCAGCTCATGATCTCAGGGTCTTGAGATCGAGCCCCATACCTGGCTCCATGTTGAGCACAGAACCTGGTTAAGATTCTGTTTCTCCCCATCTCAAAAAAAAAAAAAAAAAAATTTTTTTTTTTAGTAGATTGATAAGAACTTGTGTTAACAAGGTCTTCACTGTTTTTCTCTCAGTATTTTCCTGTGTTACTAAGCTAATAAGCATTTAGGATAAATGTGTCTATGTTAAGTACTTCCCAGTGCCATGGGCTAGGAGTCTGAGCTGGCTGTATTGTGTGCACTAGGGGCTGTCTTGTCTGAGCCCCACTCATTGGCAGGGTCCCATTCCCATGCGCCCCTCTCACCATGACCCTTTTTTCTCCCACATGGACCTTACCCCCTTTTCATCTCCATAGCATTGTGTCCCTTTCTTACAGCACTTTGTCCTCTGACCGCATAAGCACCTGGGGATCTCTTCTTCGGAGGTGGTGTCCCTTTCCGGTGTCCCCAGCATCCCCCGTGTGTACTTCTCCTTGTGTGTCATGATTTGCATACTCGTTTGTTTTTCCCACTGGATGAGCGACTCTTTGAGGGCAGACACCGTGTCTTATTGTTTTGTCTCCAGTGTCCAGGATATAGTAAGCCCTCCGCACAAGTTTGCTGAGTTAGGGACCCTTAACCCCACCCCCCCCATGCGCATTCTGGAGGGGAGGCTCTCGGAGGCTTCCAGTTGGTCTCTGCAACCCTGTAATCCCCTGGGAATTCAGCATTGTAGACGGTCACCACACCGGAGGGAGCCATCCTGTTGTTACTCTAGGGCAGCAGTTCGCAAACATTTTCTGTAAAAGGCAAGATAATAATCGGTCTAGATTTCCCAAACTGTATCATCTCTGTTGCCATTGCTTGTTTTACAACAACAAATTTACAACTCTTTAAAAATGTAAAAACCATTCTTAGCTCTGAGTATAAAAGAGACTGAGGGGTCCTAGAGCACAAGCAGAGCTGCATGGCCTAACTCGGGTCCTGGGTCCGGTTCCGGGGCAGGAAGGAAGAGGACAGAGCCAGCCAGCACCTGCCGCCACAATTCCTCTGACACCCACGATCATCGCTCCCTCGACTCCCTGACTTCTTTAAAACACTGCCTAGCGGATGCCGTTTTCTGAGAGCCTGTGTCCTGTTGAATTCGTTTTGTTACTTCGATCTGTTCTGTATTTTCTCGACTTCCCTTTGGAGCCTCTGGAGAGGCAGGCAAGTCAAAAGACAGACGGCTCAGCCTGAACAGAGGGGGATAGTTCCTTTGGGGATGGTCCCCGGTTGGGCTTGTGAGGAACTGCCTTTCTTTTTTGTCCGAGAAGAATTTTAAAACTCAAAGGTATGAACATTAGTGCTCACATAAATTTGTATTTTTTTTTAAAGATTTTATTTATTTATTTGAGGAGAGAGAGAGTGAGAGCCAGCTTGAGGAGGGAGAGGGTCAGAGGGAGAGGCAGACTCCCCAGTAAGCAGGGAGCCCGATGCGGGACTCGATCCTGGGACTCCGGGATCATGACCTGAGCCGAAGTCAGTCACTCAACCAACTGAGCCACCCAGGCGCCCCGTATGTGTTTTTAAGTACAAAGAGATTGATGCAACATCTTATGTCAGTTCATTGCCATGAAATGATGAGCCCTGTGATGTTTAGATAGGATAGTGTCTGAGTAGTCTGTACTTCGGGTTTTTAGAGAATGGGGGATGAGGGTAGCGTGAACTCCGACAGCTGATGAGGAAGGAGCCTGGAGCCTGTTCTCCCCTGGCGCGGGCCCCCACCATCTCCTGCTCCATGGGGCTCCCCATCTGTGGCCTGTTGCAGGAGAAAAGCAGCACTCGGTTCGACTCGGCAAGGAGTAGGGCAAAGTAGATCTTTTCCCGTGGCTGCTAACCTTCCTGAACTCTAGATGTTGTAAAAATGCCTATCAGGAGTGTTGTGTGCAATAGGTCATTAAAATCTGTTAGTGAGTTTTATTTTATACACTTTCATACAGAGCTTTTCTGAAGCGTGTGTTTTGTGAAGTTAGTTTTTGTGTAGGCATTTGATTGTGGTGAATGTATTACTGATAGCTTCTTGTAATAGGAAGGTACCTGATCTTAAAGTAAATGATCTTTTGTGTGAGTTTAGTCAGGTGGCTCTCATGTTGTGGTCTCTGGGCCAATGGCCTTGACATGGTCTGAGAACTTGTTAGAAATTCAGATTCTTGGCCCCCACCCCGGCCCCCAACCTGCCAAATCAGAATCTCTGGGCTGGCCCAGCAGCTGATGTCTTACCGAGCTCTGGAAAGGATTCTGAAGCTGGCCAGAGTTCAAGATCCAGTCGTTCAAACCTTAATTGAGAGGTGGTTGTATTTTTCCTGTAGATGTGCTGATCAACTTTGATGTGGTCAAGATGAAACTTTAAATTGTAATGTTTAAACACTAGACTTTAATGTTGCTAAGCTGCTGAAAGCTGGATCTGGGATCACATTTATTCGTTAGAGACAGAGAAAGCATGTGCACGCCGGCACGCTCGAGTGGGGGGAGGGGCAGAGGGAGAGGGAGAAGCAGACTCCCCGCTGAACGGGGAGCCCGAGATCATGACCTGAGCCAAAGGCAGATGCTCGACCATTTGAGCCACCTGGGCGCCCCTCAATAAAATGATTTTTATTTACCAACTCTTTGTTTTTTAAAAAATTTTTTCCTATTTTTTATTTTAAAAGGTTATTATTTGAGAGAGAGGGAGTGTGAGAGAGTGCACAAGCAGGGGGAGTGGGAGAGGGAGAATCAGGCTCCCCACCGAGCAGGGAGCCTGAAGTGGGGCTCGATCCCAGGACCCTGGGATCATGGCCTGAGCTAAAGGCAGACACTCAACTGAGCCACTCAGGTGCCCCAGTTCTTTGTTTTTTTATATCAACAGGTGACACTTGGACAGAAACACTGGCCTACGTGCTCTTCTGGGGAGTTGCAAGCATTGGAACATTTTTCATTATTCTTTATAACGGCAAGGATTTTGTCGATGCTCCCAGATTGGTCCAGAAAGAAAAGATGGACTGAATTTGTGTCTGTGGAAAGCGGCTTGGCTTGGAAGATTCCATGATGCAGAACTGGAGTCTTTACTGACCCGCTTTCCACGTGGGCCCAAGGTCTTTCGAAAGCCTTTCTCCAGAAGCCTGCCCTGTGCTCCGTTTGAGGGGAGGACCTACGATTGGCCCAAAGTTCCTGCCTTGACCATCTCTTCACTACTGGGACGGCTCTACTTATAATTGGAAGCTCTTCTGTAATTAAAAGGTAACCTGAATCCAGCTCCTGGAGCGGAAGGAATCTGTTCTTTGTCGATTTAATCAACTCTTGCAGAATAAGTAATATATTTAAGAGATCTAGCTTCTTTCCGTATTTAAAATAGTAAAATTATTTTTCTAGCTCAGTTTCCTTATTGTCACTGTAAAGGCAGTTTCTGATCGCAAGCAGACTTCCCCACACATCTTTGAACTTAAAAGGTGAATAATGAGCTAATGCACCTCTGTGCACGCAGCGTGAGTCTCTCGCAGACGTCAGGTAGTTAGCCGGGGAAGCCCGTGACCTCCTGGTCGGGCGGAGGGGAGCCGGGCCTGGCATTCCAGTGGAGTTTCGGTTGGGCCGCTCTGAGTCCAGCTTGAACTGGAGTGTAAAGAAGAGGAAGTTCCGATAGACTTTATCTTTTTTAAAAGGTGTAAATGAAATCAAAGAATGTAAAGTCTGTGTCTTACGCTAAAGGTCCAAAGCCACCTCTGTTTTAAGGATTTACCCCAACGTGGAGAAGCCCCTCGGCGGGCCACCTCCTCCCTCCCGGCTGTGTTGCTCCCCCCCCCCGGGCCCGTTCATCAAGCCGAGTGAGCCTCGGGGAGACTCTTGGCGGGACGTGGTGTCACACTTGGAGGCAGCAGCCGCTTTCCACGCATGGCACCATCAGCCCTTCTCACTCTGGAAAGGTTTGTGTCAATAAGTGTGTCTGAAATTTTGTGCTTCCACATAGTTGGAGTTCTCCAAATCAAGGACCAACTTCAATGTTAATTTATGTGCAAAAACAAGCCTGAAAAATACGCTTTAGAAGCTACGCGTAGTTCTAAGTCAGACTGTATATTCAAACTGTAATTATGAGGTTTAAATATTAGAAAAGTGTGTAGGGTAGTATTCTTGCCACTGTTTTAAAACCGTTCGATTAAATCCTGCTAAAATATTTGTGTTGTGCTTGAAAATATGTACAGTTTTTTTTTTCAATAGTAAGTAAGACCTTCTGTGGTCCTTCAGTATCTCTCAAAGCGCCTTTATTTCAACATGACTTTTTATTTCCCAACATTATCTTTTACAAACATTAATAAGAGTCGTTGCTTCTAGAAACTCTAAAGGAGGTAATAGCTGGAAGCCCTCTGTAGCTTAAAATCATTCATGAAAACTCCCAGGAGGGTAAGTGATCAGAGCTACCTATTCTTAACATGTAAATAAGCATAATTTGTTCCAAAGATGAAATGTTTGAAACTCGGTTCATGTCTACTGTAATATAGTAAGTCAAGTGCCCCTGGGCATCTCCCATGAAGAACTGACTTCCACAACCACAGCAAAGACCCACTGAGGGCCGCCCCGCTTGTGTGGCTCGTGTGGCTGCTCCGTAGTGGGGGGACCAGGCCGGTGTGTCAGCGCCTAAAAGTGTCTGTATCCAGAGCCCTGCCGTGATTTTATTTCTAAATTCATGTACTGTAATCCTTAAGTGAAAATAAATGTCATACTCTTTTCTAACCACTGTTGGTATCACTCCTATACTTTGTCTTAAAAGGGAGGTTCTTTTTTTATTTTACAACTTTTTAAAAAAGATTTTATTTGAGAGAGAGAGAGAGACAGAACACATGCAGGGGCAGCAGCAGAGAGAAAGGGAGAAGCAGGCTCCCCGCTGAGCAGGGAGCCCGATGTGGGGCTCGATCCCAGGACTCTGAGATCATGACCTGAACCCAAGGCATATGCTTAACAGACTGAGCCACCCAGGCGCCCCTGTATTTTAGAATTTTAGAACTCAAAGCAGTGCATGCAGGGGATTTACAGAAAAGTAGACAGTGTAAGGAAGCAAGAAAATTCATACCTTCTGAAACCTGCTTTCCAGTTATCACTTGAGAAGTCGTGTCCGTGTGTATAATTAATTTTTAGTTAAAGATAAAACCAGCGAATTATGTAGTAAAGTATTTTTCCATAAAAAGGTATCCCCTGCACTCTGCCCCGCCAAGTTAATTTGTTTCTCAAAATGATAACGGGTCTCACCAGCACAGAGCGACAGTCTTGCCTATTAGAAACTGATCTCTCGGGCCACAGGAATGTGTCCCCGACAGGTGGGAATGCACCTCGGAGACCCCCTGCCCACGTGGGGAGTGAGATGAAAGGCCTTGGAGGTGGGCTGTGGGGTCCTCCGTCGGGCTGTGTCGTGCCCTTCCCTGGCGTTGGCTCTCTGGGCTCCAGCCGCTGCCTCTCCTGCCCAGGCTGCTAAAGGGAGCCGCCCCAGCAGCTTCCTGCGAAGGGTTTTTCAGGAATTCTCTCCCACGCACCCACCCCGTGACCGTCTGTCCTTCCTCTGGTACACTAATCGGTGTCTGTGCCGGCTCATCTCTAGCTCCTTGCTTCCTGGGGCAAAGAGAAAGGTCAGTGATGCTCTCATCACCTGGTTACATCCAGTACAAGTGAGACATGACTCCGTGTGCGATCCGCGGTGACTGCGCTCTTACTTGCCACTCCAGAATGACCAGCTTTGTCCTGTTGAGGATTCTGGGACTAGGAGTAGGGGGGCGCCGGTCCCCAGAGTCATGTGACCCAGATTCCTTGGTTCTAACGGTCTGGACTGTACTCGTGGGGTCAGTTCGGACTGGAATTGGAGGTGCGCCAGGGGTGGCATGGGGGGAAGCAGCTTAAACAAACCAAGGTCTTGGGGTTTTATCGTCCAAGAGTCCCGATGTCAGAAGAAAGTAGCCCAATAAAGACGTGTTACGGTAAGCTTTTGGAATGCCCTTTCCATTGCCCATGGGCTCCCCGGCACAGCCACTTGGCTTAAAGAAGCCAGCAAGACCTAAGTGCCAGTCTCTCTCGTAACCAAATCTCAGAAACGTCGTCCCATCACGTCTGCTGTTCTCCGTGGGTTCGAAACCAGTCCGGGGTGGGGCATGAGTGCTACGGGGTGGGCGTCCCTGGGGCTGTGTTAGGAGGCCTGCCCCTGCAGCCAGGGAGGAGTGAGACGCTGGGCTGGTGCCCCAGAGAGTTCGGTGGCCTCCTGTCAGGTGGTACAGCTTAGACCAGGACTGACGAGTTCTGGTAACCAGACTCTGCCTGGCACATTAGCCCCCAGAATGGCACAGAACAGCGATACCATTTGTTTTGCTCCCCAAACCCTGCAGTCTGGGCTGGGCCTGGCAGGCATCACTCATCTCTGCTGCACTGGGCATGGGCTGTGTGGCTCCGAGCCTGGGGCCCTCCGTCACCAGCAGCTTGTGCTCACCTGGGAGGGGGCCGGGCGCAGGAGAGAAGGGAGAGGGAGGAGGAGGAGACAGACACTGCTGTGTGCAGGGACCTCCCCTATAGCTCTGGGCTCCCTTCCCTCTGTGGGAGGAGCGCTGGGGAAGAAGGCGTCTTGCTGGACAAGTCCGGTACCTCGGCTCAGTCTAAAGTTCCGTGGCTTCCCTCCTGTGCTGTTGGGGCCTGTAACAGAATGGGGTCAAGGAGACCCTGTCCCTGGGGAGGCCCATGTTCTTCCCAGGGCCACCCCTGCGTCCTCCCAGAGAGCTTTCCACTGGCCTTGCTTGCTCTTGCTGCATTTCCTCTTACTAGTCGAGTCCATCCGTATGTCCTTAGTATCGTTGTGTGGCGCACTCCGCGTGATGTTTCTAGGACTCCGCTCGGTGGTCCCAGCTGTCGTCCCCTCCTGCCAGCTTGTTTATAGTGAATGAATTTATGACCGTCTCTGTGTCCATTCGGATTTAATAGATCACATGTTCCTTTTTATCCAGTCCGGTCTGATGCTGATGGACATTTCGGTGGTTTCTGGTTGGTAACTCTTGCACTCAGTCTGGCTGTGCACCTCCACGCCTCCTGGCTCCCGTGGGAGTGTGTCTCTCCTTGCTGTCTCCCCAGTGGAGAACGAGGAGCCAGAAACACAAGAATAACACGAAATCATTTTCTAAATGGGCTTGTGCCATTTCTGTGCCGAGTGGTTCCACGTGACTGTCAGCGCTCGGTATGCCAGACTTACTGATTTTTTTCGTCTAGCAGGTACGGATGAGCTACCGATCTCATTCTGGCATTTCTCCAATCACTGATGACCCTGAGCATCTTTTCGTCATTCTTTCTTTGGTCATTGGTGTTCCTGTTTTGTGCCTTGTTGACGTCTTTTGCCGGTTTCTGTTAGATTGTCCTTCTTGATTTGTTGTGAACTTCTTTATATTCTAGAGTTGTTGGTTATATGTGCTATATAAATCTTCTCCCACAGATCACACAGGGCAAGGTGCCCACGTTAAATCCTCAGTGGGGTTCTGTTGCTCTTTGAAGAAAGATCTTAAGCCCCTTGCCTGGCCCACGACTGACTCGACCCTGCCTACTCCTCCAAGCCCACCTCCGAGCACCCTCCCCATTCCAACCATTGGCCTCCTTTCTGCTCTTTCTCACCCCTGGGCCTTTGCACATGCCGTTGACTCTGTCTAGACAGACATTCCATCCTCAAAGCTCCTCCTCAACCACCTGATTGAAGTACTTACCATCACTTGACCCATTTCTTGCCTTCTTAGAAACGATCACAGTCTGTACTCATTTGTTGCCCAGGACTGTCTCTCTTCCCTCCCAGAACGTAAGTGCCAGGAAGGCCAGGGACGATGTCTGTTGTGTTCAGCACCATCCCCAGCACCTACCCCAGGACTGGTGTGTAACCCACCAGTTGGTGCTCTTAATAACACTGATACTGTGCAGGTGAGCCACAGTCAGGAAGAGAAGTGGTTCCCATGTCAGGGACTGGTCACGACATTCTGCTTGAGAATTTCCTGTTTGTCAGTGATGTTTTAGCCTTACAAGTGGATGTTTGAATCTGTTACTTATTTTTCTTCCCCTAATGTCAAGTAAAAACTGATCGGGGAGTTAATTCTCTGTCCCAGCTTTTCTGTCAGTCAAGTGGAACAGCCAGAGATTAATCTTTTATGTAATGCAGACAGAAGTCCAACACAGCAGTTTGCATACGCCCCCTCTGCCCCCAGCATAGTTGTTAAGGGCACACTCATGCCTACCGTGGTTTCTTATGGTCTCAGCCAGACCCTGAGACAGACAGGCTGCCCAGGATGCCCATCAGAAGGATTGAAAAGATTGAGGTTACACCTGTTTTACATGCAGCAAATTAGACATTTTTCTGGCTTTTCTTAGGGAATCTGACCATCCCATTAGGGTCTTTGTACACTGTGGCAGTGTGGCTTCCCTGGCCGCATGGGGGAAACACGGAGAAGGTGACAGAACCAAGACGCTGGCTGGATTTTCCTTTATTTGTCATGTTTCCCAAATCAACTCGTCTCTTTACATAATACAGGAAAATCTTGTGTGGAAAGCTCTTAAAACTGCAGCCAGTACATAACCAAAACCTTACAGATACACTTGTCTAGGGTTTTATTTATGGGGAAAATGGCTAAAAACCAGATAGTTCCGTCCCTGATTTCTTAGAGCTAAGCCAAGGGCCATTATGTCTCTAGCATTAATAGAAAGCTCCCTGGAGCCCGTGATCTGGCCATGGCATCTAGGTGACTGTCACGTGGACAGGGACGGAACGTCGCTTTTCCCCTCCAGCTCTCTGGGAGGCAGGTGGATGAACGCCAGATGACCACTTCCATGCAATACCCTGAAAATGGTCAACCGAGGATTTTTTCGAGATAGGACGTAACTATGGCTTTAAGAGGATGCTTGAGAACTGTTCTGCCCTTCATGAAGTTCATAGGAACCAGAATAAAACTGAACCAAAACCCTAGGCCTTTAGCTCGAGCACATTATTCTAGAACAGCGGGATTTCATCTGTCCAGCTTGGGGTGCAAAAATTATTCTGTAGAAGTGGCTTGTCCATGACAATCGAAGGACTCAAAAATGCTTTTAAATGTCTGAAGTTTCTTCTTGATGTAAGTATTCCTAAATGCATGACCCATTGTGGGGCCCTGGTCCTCGGGTTGGGCTGGCTCCGGGCGGGGCCCAGGTACGCACAGGGAGACGGCAAGCCTCGCTCCCAGGTGGTTCAGATGGGCGGCCAGGGGTAGCGGCAGGGACATACAGTAACTCAATACAGAAATGAGGACGGCGTTGGCCCCCATGGTCCTGAGGCTACTTGGCATTTAGGACTGACACACTGCACTGACGCCAGGCCCCAGGAGGAGTGGCCCATGTTGCAAGACCATGACTGTGCCTGTGAGCTTGGGTGGTGGGGGGGGTCCTCTCTGTAGGGATTCAGGAACAGACTGCGCTGTGTATTTGACATGGAGCGTGCCCACTCTTCAAGCCCTGGTAGGTAAGGTTTGTTGGCCCTAAACCGTCTGATGAAAAAAATTAGAGGACTGAGTATTTGTGGTTAGGAAATGCTGGTGCATTCTAGAGGCAAGTGACTTTTTTTTTTAAATAATGAGGTGAAGCTGTGAAATACTGATAGGATGGCTATAAAAGAAGGCAAAAGACCTTCCTAATGCCTATTTTTGTTATATAGGACACTTAGAGCCATGGAAATGAAGTTAAAAAACAAAAAACCACCAACAAAAACCCTCCAACTAAGCCCCAATTAAGTGTCTGCAAAGATGTTTGTACAAATCTACCCAAAGAAACTTCACTGAATCCTGTATGTCCAGGAAGCACAGAATGTTAGGGCAGGAAGTGGCCCTCTCCGCTTAGGGATAACCTTGACCTACTTACTGCGGTCAAAGACGGGACATTGGCACTGTGGACTGATGCTGTATCATAAATATGGTGTCTTCAGTTCCAAGAGGCTCTGTTTTATACACTCTAGAAAACCTATGTACAAATAATTTAAGATGGACTATAAGTGACATTCATGGTCTTTGCTCTAATGAGTTGGCCGCCATGTCCAAATAGAACACCAAGTTGGCTGTGCCCTCACCCACAAGTGGTTCTGGCACCTTTTCCAACACCCAGTGGTAGGGGCTGTCTGCATGGACTTCTCGGGTGGTTTGGGGTTGCGCACTATAATTGGGAGGATTGGGCCTGGACCCACCGTGAGAGACCTCAGATCACCCAAGTGAGCCCCTTTTGGACTCCAGCAAAGGCCTCCTTCTACCTGGCCAGTCGGTGGTGTTAGTGAAGGACCCAGCAGTTACATATTCACAGGGACTCAAAAAGAGAGACCTGGTTTTGCACCAGTGACATTCGGCTGTCATCTCAGGCACTTGGAGAAAACCTCTCATCCAGCTGATCTAAAAAACAACTGCCCTCTCCTATTTTGGGATTTCTTCAGAAGAAAAAAAAAGTCGCTTAAATTTTATTCCATGAAAATTACAGTCAAATTTCAGCTCACAGCGTGGCCTAATTCTAGGACTTCCCTAGAGTCAAGAAAGCAGTTGTCTTCCAGACTGGCCTTGAAAAGCCCGCGTCTCTGGTCACAGGGAGGGGCACAGAGGGGAGCAGGGGCTGCTCCGTGGGTGGGGTGTGAGTCCTCCCAAGGGAACCTTCTTCCTCCACTGTCCTTCTTGACGAACTCAGGAAGACGACAGGCTGAGTGTTTCTGGAGCAAATATTGTCCCAAGCAGCCAAGGAGATTCCGTCTGTAAGTCGTAGCTGCCGGACAGGGAGCAGCTGAGCATGGTCTCTGGGAAGCCCAGTCCTCAGGCCGCGGGGGGCGTGTCTCCCCTCTTGAGACCGCGTGTGATGAAAGTCCCCAGGGCCACCAGGGGGATGCACATGATGGAGGAGGCCACCAGCAGCCCAATGACGGCCAAGGCATATGGGGGGTAGTCCTTGGTCACGAGCTGTCCCTGCAAGGGGAAACAGGGTCAGCAGGAAGAAACCACTGCAGGCAGAGGTTGGCCTGGTGGAGAGGCCGTGTGCTGGGGGGTGGGGGGTGTCCGGGGCCACCTGGCTCTGCAGCTCACCAGCAAGTATGCTGGATAGACCGCCCCACCTTGTCGTCCCCCTTGCCTTCTCTCTCTTCCGTGAACTTCAGCTAGTGTGCATACAGCCACTATTTTGGCCCTGCCTCTGAAAGATCACCGACAAAAATAATCAAGAGCCTTCCCTTCGGGGCACCGATAGGGGCACCTATGTGCAGGGGCTAACCTGAGCCCGGTGCTGCCCAACAGAACATTGTGATGACACACGTGTTCCGTATCGGGGTTGTCCAACATGGCAGCCACCAGACACAGGGGGCTACTGAGCCCTGGAAATGTGGCCGGTGAGGGTGAAGAACTCAATTTAGCAGTTGCGGTGAACTCAGATGGGCATAGCCCCATGTGGCTGTTGGCTGCCACCTTGAATGGCACAGCTCTGGTCAGGAGAAACCTTGAGGGACCTCTGGATTCAGTTGCTGGACCCTTCCCTGAATGCACATGAATTAAAGCTGATGAGAAATGAGGCCAAAAAGCCTGTAAAGGCTTCCTTTCCACGCGGGACCCACGGAACAGCTACGTCCAGGGGAAGCAGGTGTTTGCTGTCGCCCAAGCATGGTTTGTGACCCCAAACGCTGCTTAGGGTGTGGTGTGGGAAACCAGCCCGCGAACTTTCTGTTGCTTGTCTCCCTTTTTTTGTTCCATCCTGACCCGTGCAGAAACTGGGGTGGGGTGTGGGGGGGGGGGACATTGAGAAGCTGTTGTAGCAATGTGACCGCTTCGTCTTCTGTCTGTTGGGTATCAGAAGTGATGGGAGCTTATACTCTACAGATATTCTCATGTCACTTTTCAAGTGCTTCACTGTCCTTGCATTTTACGGACGTATCAGGCTGCTGTGGATTGGGGAAGACACACCCCCGTCCCTTAGCCACAGCTGGAGAAGCGCAGCCACTGGAACCAGGGCTGGGGACGACTTTGGCCACCATCGGTCACGTTCTCTATGAAAGCGTGTCTATATCGGGACAGCCGGCCTGGTCTCGAGGCCAAGGGTCCCTGTGCGGCCCCTGGCTGTTCACATGCTGACACACCGTCCTTCCGGTTGGGGCACAGCAGCTGCGTGGAGCCCCAAGCGAGCCTGTTCTGGCTGTCCCAGCCCCACCCGGACCTGGACCCTGCCAGGATCCGGCACCCAAGTGCTGATGCAGGTCCCCTTGGGCTCCTGCAATGTCCCTTCCAGGGGCCATGCTTTCCGGGGGTCAGGGGCCGGGCCCTCCAGGCTCGCTCTGCCTTCCCCGAGGAGGCCTAAGTGGACAGAGGCCAGGGGTGGGAACCAGCACCTGGCAGACCTTCTACCGGCCTCCAGAGGCCCCCTGGGAAGTCCTGGGAGGGAATCCTACTCTCTTTGCTGGAGTACTCAGCGAAAAACCAAAGCCCACTTCTGCTGTCCTGAGCTGAGTGTTTTTCATTACCTGGGTGGTGGTTCTGTGTCGTGACAACTGACCTGCCCACCCCAGGGAAATGGGTCGGTTTCAGCGAACGTAAAGCCAGTGCTTGGAAGGGAGCCCAGGGGGTCCGGAGCCGGAGGGTACCTGGAAGGCGTCCCACGCTTGGTACTGCAGGGTCCCCGTGAGGATGTAGTCACTCAGGTAGAAGACAAAGAGGCTGACGATGAGCAGGGGGCTCACACCGGCCCACATGGCCTTCCAGTACCAGTTCAGGCCACGACCGGTCATGGCCTCAAGGTCACTTTCAAATCTGTTTGGAAAATGAGGAGAAAGTCAGGATTATCCATGCTGTTGGGGCAAGAGGGCTCCACCTTTCATATCCCTTTGCTTAGAAAGATTCTGTTCTGAGCACCACCGATGACGACCTCTTTGGGGTCCCTCTCTGACACCTGGGGAGAGGGTGTGCAGGGTGGGGAAGGGAGAAAGGCTGAGGCCGCCACAGAGTGGAAGGGAGAAAGGCTGAGGCCGCCACAGAGCAGAGCAGCAAAGCAACTGCCTCATGGTTACGGGGACATCAGAAGATACCTTCCTGGTGCCACCTTTGGATAAAGGCTGCTGGTATAGACCATAAGGGCTACTCCCGCAGGCATGGAGAGGGGCGGGTGTGTGGTGGGGTGGGGTGAGGCTGGACCGTCACCGGCGGTAGCCACAGCCACAGCCACCTGCCACACTTGGGCCTGTGGCTTGTGCTGAGTTCCCACAGAAACCTGCAGACAGCCACCTGTTCCCATGCTGCTGCTGACCTGGCTGGACCCTGGGTTTCAGGCCACGAAGGGTCCTGTGCTTCATGTGAATGCCTGAGATTTTTCAAGATGACATGCTCTTTTGTCCCTTCACATCCCCTGCTCATCCCCCCTCCCCCTCCAACTTGCCTGGATAAAGAGATGTGGAAAAAGCTACCTGCCTGTGAACGAAGGGTGACATGGCACTGTGGCTCAGTGGTCACTAGGTGGCGCTGTCCCCTGGGCGAGCCCAGGGACTCCTCTCCCGGCCATTCCTGGGTCCTGCTGCTTACAAACTGCTCTGCGAGGCACCTTTGGTTTCTCCCTCCCTCCGACCCTGACCACTTAGTACCACCCCTTTGCATGGACTTGTGTCCCTTCTCCAGCATCTCCCCTGGGCCCTGCCTTTTGGTCCTCTTTCCGCAACCTTCTCTCTTCCTGGGAAACACCTACCCTCTCAGGGGACCGATCTGTTTCTCCCTCTAGACTACCACATCTAGGTGACCCACTTGTCCCGGTTGACCCAGGACGTCCCCAGTGTTCACAATGAATGTCCCAGGAAACCCCTTGGTCCTGGGAAAACAAGGAGAGTGGGTCACTCTAACCCGAATGTCCTCCACAGATAAGAAATGGAGGGACAGATACCGAAGTCTTTCTTGACCGAAAACGTTTTGGACATGCTACACATTATACCCCCTTTGAGACTCACAGTGGTCTTTGGGCTCCAAGTAGTCCTATAGGAAAGAAATGTTGACTCTCTCTTATTTGTGACGTCCCGAAATTACTTGATCATGTAAGTCCCTTGGTGTGACAGGGGACCCCAGAGCTTCCAGGGACACAGAGGGAAACATGGCTCAATGGGTCTGGTTTCTAGGGTCATGGCTGGTCCTCCCCACTCCCATTGCAATACAGAAAGCAGAAAGACGAGATACTGGTTGAAGGTGGGAGCGAGGCAGAGAATTACCTGGGCCAAGGGAAAAACAGTGCCAAGTTGGAGGAGAAAAGTAAGGGACTTACTGTGGAAAGGGACTTGCTTTCCTGGTGGGGCGAGGCCTTTGTGGGGGCGTGGCCTTCATGGGCCCTTCCCCAAGCAGGTGTCAGGGGTGGGGCCTCCTTACCTCCTCAGCCCATACACGTAACACACAGCAATGGTCTCCACCAGCACGATGAGCAGCAGGGACAGCGTGGCCGCATAGTCATTGAATATGTCAAACCAATAGTTGCCAGACTCCATGGTGAACACCAGGCCAATGACACAGTTGATGAGGCATACCAGACCTGGGGCCACAAGACCACACGCTCACTTGCCTGAGACACCTACCCGTTCATCCAGTTTCCTATGTGGAGCCACGGACCCCAGGGGGACTTAGCCATGGACTGGCCTCTCTGCCTCTGTATGCCACAGGTGTGTGTGTTCAGGGGACAACAAAGGTGTCCCAAGGAGTGTGTGTCTGCACAAGTCACTAATGTTAATTCAGGGAGCTGTCCTGCAGGGGGCATCAAGCTCAGCAGAAAAGAGAAAGTTGTGGGCGCTGTTGTCTCCCCATGCTGTGGGGGTGGGGGTGGGGGTGGGGGTGGGGGTGGGGGTGGGGGTGGGTCCCACCCAGCCTGTGGGTCTGGTGATGTCATTTACCCCTACAACTCAGCTTCTGAGCTCACAGAGGTGAATCACGGCACCCCTCTCAGAACCTCCTAGAGAGGATTCATGTCTGGCCAGAAGAGGGAGTAGGGAGGGGAGAGGAAGACAGGAATGTCTACCCAGCTCCCACTATACGTGCTCCTGGCTCGTCTCGTGCATTGGATCCAATAGCCTGGGGAGCTCCCTTTCACAGCTGGGGAAACCAAGGCTCAAAGATAAGGAGGACTTTCCCAACATCCCATAGCATCTAAGAGGGGAAGTCAGGATTCAGACAGAGGCCCTTCTGCTTCCAGAACCCAGGTTCTTGAACCAGCCTCCACAGGCAGACTCCCCCAGGGACCCCATGAAGTATTTGACCCTCAAGCTCCCACCTCCCCTTCTCACCGCCACACCGTCACCAAGCCCCCGTGCCATCTTGAGGGGACACACCTCGAGAAAGGGGCTATGTGCTGGCCAGGAGCTAATGGCACATAGCAAGCAGCCACAGAGACCACGTGGGAAGAGCGATGCTCAGTGCTAGAAGGTTCTGACAAGGGGTGGGCGGCTCCATCTGGCTGGCCAGGACTTTAAGGGGATGGGATGTGAGCTCAGTGGGATGAGGCTGGGAGAAGGGACGTCCTAGATGTGGTGGGATGGTTTCATTGTGGGCAGGAGTGGGGGGCCACTGGGTTCTATCACCAGGTATGATGGTGGAGCAGATGAGTGATGGAGTGAATCGGGGAGAGGGGTGATTAGAAAAACACGTTCCTTCCCTAGCAACCCAAATGGCCCACGACAGCAGAAGGGAAGATACACAGTGCTGGGTGGTCTTCTAGGTGATCATCTATCACGCAGGCGGGAAAGGGACAGATCGATGGTCACTTGCAACAACGGGGAGGACCGCATCGAGTTTGGCGAAGACAAGAAACATACAGCACAGACAGCGTGATTCCATGTATATGAAGTTCAAGAGCAGGAAAACGATCCTGAAGCGGTAGCAGTCACGAAGAGGTGGCTTCTGGGGCTGGGAGCATACGGACTGGGAAGAGGTGGGGAGGGGCTCTCGGGGGTGCTGGAAACGCTCTGTACCTTGACTTAGGTGGTGGTTACTTGGGTGGTTACACGTAAAAATCACTGAGATTGTGTTTAGGAAATGTACATGCTCTAAGTGTTACGCTTCAATTGAAACAAAGACCAGAGCAGATTGTCTCCTGGCCTGAAGAGTTTGGAGCACCATGGTGGTAAGTGTGGCCTTCCCCAAGGCTGGGGTGGCCACCACCCTTCCCTGTGATGGAGAACCAGAGGCACAGGTGAGTCACGCACTCCGAATCCCACACGGCCCCGAGGACGAGAGACCACAAGGCTCGTCCATCTGCTTGTGCCCCATGCCTGGCCCTCCCTGAGCCCCACATCCCCCATGGACGGGCCCACTCACCGGAGATGGCCTCCTTGGGCAGGTGGCTGGAGATGACCTTGCTGTCGGTCAGAGGCGTGAGGATGGCCGCCGTGTTCCCCAGCATGCTCCCAATGCCCAGCATCAGCAGCATGAAGAAATAGAGCACTGACCACAGCTGGGACACCTCCATGTTTTTAATGGCTTCGGTGTAGACGATGAAAGACAAGCCGGTGCCCTGGACCGCCTGCCCATAGTGAGAAGGCGGCAGTTACCCACCCAAGGGACTTGGGACTCCTTAAGTGCACCTGATACAAAGCAACCTCCCAGGTGGCCAGGAGAAGCCACGGGCCAAGCTGGGGTTTGCCATGTACACACCGGCCCCTTGGGCTTAGCAGGGCTGGGTAGACACGTGAGCCATGAGGAGCCCCTTTCATCACTTTGGAACACTGAGCTCCCATCTCCCACCCCAACTCATGTCCATTCGGGATGAAATACAATCAGACAAGGTTCAGATAATTTGTGCTTCCAACAGGATGGCCACTGCGGCGTTCTGAGGCCCCAGTGTCTGGGAGGCGAGGTGAGTGGGTGAAGCCACAGGGCCTGGGAGGGCAGGGTTGCTCTGTAGCGGAGCCCTGCAGGGATAGCCACCTGTGGAACCAGAGCCTGGAGCTCCCGCTTACAGACGAACCCTCCAAGAGGTTTGGAAGAGGTCTTGGGGTTGGGGCCATGGGGGAGGGTGCTCCCTGGGTACCAGCGGCAGAAGCAAACCCACTCTGGGGGCAAGCTCCTGCAATCTAGACCCGCAGGACCACCAGAGAGGATCAAGCAGCGAGCTTGCAAACAGATGTATAAATCCAAAGACGACAAGCCACGGAGGAAAGAGTTAGGAATAATTCCCCCAGAATGGCCGACACTGGTTGGCTTGGCAGACTCCTGGCATACTAATAAGCATAGTGGGATTCACCAGCTCTGCGTGCAGACAACAGGGGATGGTCCCTTGTAGAGAATTTACAAACAGTAACAAAACCTGCTAAAGTTGGCTTGCTTCCTATCATTATCATGAGCCAACAAATTCTCCATGGTGTCAGTCAGGAAACCGACTGCCCTCACTCTCCTGCCCAAGGCCACCCCTGGAACAGCTATGTAGGACCTTTTCAAAGAAGCAGAAGATAAAACTGCTAAAAATAAGCGTATCACAGGAAATTCAGCATGGGGAGCAAATGTGAGAGGAAAAATATCGTGTTTAACAAATCACTGAACCGACAGGCTCCATCAACAGCTAAATACCACTTGTAGCTGAAGAGAAACTTAGGGAACCGGGAGGCATATTCCAGGAACGGGTCCACAATGAGAAAAAAAAAAAAGATAAGAAGCTGGGAAAACATAGAAGAGAAGTGAGTGGACATGCAGCGGTGGGAATTCCAGAGCAGAGAGATAGAAGTACAGGCAATGATGAAGAGGTTAAGGGGTGTGAATTTTCCAGAACTGGTAAAGACATGTGGATCTGTGGATCCAGGAAGCCCCAACCTCACACAACCCATCCTGGGGCTGGGGGCATCCTGGCGTATTCACCCAACCCATGTCGGATGAATACAAAATACATCCACGCTTCAGTTACCGAGGCCAGAGTCCAAGGGATGGGCCAGAGAAATCAGAGTGAAAGCATGGGGCAGCCGAGAGCTTCGAAGGAGGACAGGAAATTTCAAGGCAGCTGAAATCACATGGCAAACCTCTCCAAAGTGTACAGAGAAAATAACTATAAACCTGGGACTTCCACACAGGGGAGACAGTCCTTAAAAAGAGGGGACCGAATATCGGCATTAGCATACAGACGACATCCGAGGAAATTTATCAAGAAGCAGGTGCTATACACCGGAAATGAATAGAGCCCGGGAACGATACTGGAATTAAAACTAAAGAGGGGAAAAAAAGCAAGCTGCTCTAAAGGAACACGTTTTAAGGGAGAAGATGATCCCGGAAGATGTCTGGGGTGCCAGAGGAAATGGTGAACAGGTAAAAAGGCACAAAGGCGAGGAGAGACACACACTGTCGTGTAAAACAGCACAGCCTCCAACACAGGGGCTGAGGAAAGGACAGAGGCGGACACAGGCGGTATTTAAAACTACAGTCCCTGTTCCGGGTGGGCGGGAAGTCAAGACCCTGTTGAATTTCAGACCTGGTTGAGTTAAAAAGGCAGAGGACAAATTCAAGAGGAGAAATTCGCTAGATCAGTTCCAAACAGCAGAGAATAAGGCAGCACGGGGGAGGGAAAACCCAGCAACGAATGCAATAGAAAAAGACAGTCTGAAGCCATCAGTCACCCCCTCATTCTCGGACACTGAACCAAGCCCAGAAGTCAGGGAGGAAAGCTCCCAGGGGCTCCCAAACAAAAAGGAACTTTGAAATGAGAACACGGAACAGGAGCTGAGGCCCAAAGGGAACAGATCAAGTCTTCGAAGGCTGGGGGATGGGGAGCGGGGTGTGGGGGGCGGGAAGGGGGTGTCAGGCCACAGGCCGGGGTGAGCAGAGAGCCAGGAAGGACAGTGTTGCCTCGTGCGTGAAATGACCTGATCAGTAACAGTGATGCAGGCCGACTGCCAGAGCCAGAGCCAACGTTCCCTGGGAAGGTGGCCCACGTTGACAGGGTGCCAGGGGCCAATCACCAAGTGCAGCCTCCATGGGGTGGGCTCAGCCAGCTCCTGAGCCATGGGAGAAGGGGTCTGGCGGGGACAAGTGGGTTATACCCCAGTAGCCTTATGCTGTTTAGCTATGGCTGGCCGAGAAGCCACACATCTCTAACCAGGGCTTAGACCAGAAGGCCCGTGATCCCAGCATGACGGTGACGGAAAGAGCTCCAGGCCCCGGGGTTCCTCCAATGCAGCATCCGTGGGAGGGATTCAAGAGAACCAAAGTTAATGTCAAATGCCTCCTGCGGGGTATGAACCGGCAGGTCCCCCCCAACTCATGGACATTTGCAAAGAAGGTGTTCTCTGCATTTGCAAAGAAGGTGTCACTCCATCTGGGAAATGACACGCAGGCCCGACCCTGTGGCTGACTGCAGAATCTCACCCAGCTTGCACTTGTCCCTGCGGGTGGCTCTCGGGGGAGGGAAGCTGGCCGAGACCTTGCCCGTGCCTTACCGTGGCCAGCTCTGATTGCAAGCTACAGTTTCTCATCTGTGGGAGCACCTCGCTGTATTTGCCGGGGAAGGTGGACGCCAGGTAGCCCTTCACCTGCTCCAGGTTGCTGGCGGTCAGAAAGCCATCCTCCAGGTCAAAGGAATTGGCCAGCAGCAGAATCACCCTGCAGAGCAGAGGACCACACGGACCTTGGCTGATTAGAAAGGCCACGGTCACGGAACCCTCTTGAAGCTGGGCTGCTGGGGGTCCTTCCCCTCTGATGGGGCAGGGTCCCTCCAACAAAGGGAATCTGTAGATCTGTGGCCTTTTAAAGTTTAGCAGGGGTGGGGGGGGCGGTGTGTGTGATTTTGAATGGTTTTGAAGGAGCTTCAAGTGGGACCAGAGATGAGAAACCAGCCCACCCAGCTAAGCCACCTTGACCTCTGGGCCGGCATGTTCCTCCAGAATGTTTGGGATGATGGGAATGTTCTGGGACCCCCACTAACCATAGGGCGGGGGGTGCTGTGGCAGCTGAGCCCTTGAATGTGGGGAGTGTAACAGAGAAACCGACCTGAATTCATTTACATGTAAGTGGAAATAAATTTAAACAGAAATTTAACTGACTTAATTTAACTTAAAATCACAACTGCTTTGATTAATTAACATTTAATCAACTAATTAATTAAAAATTGAGTTAATTATGTAAATCCATCCCCATTTAAATCTGGGAAGTAGCCAGCTGTGGCCAGTGACTCCCAAATGGGATCTGGATGAGGGTGGTCGTGTTTTGGGTAGGGGGAGACAGAAAGCAGACTCTGTCCTCTTCAGGGCTCACCCACAGAGCAGCTCGACTACTTCCAAGGTCAGGGAGATGAGGCAGAAGAGGAAGGCTTGTCTGTTGAACTGACCTCAGCCCCTCAGGCAGGGGTGCCCAGGCTGGGGCCCTGGATGGAGGGCTGCAAAGCCAGTGCCCTCTGCCCCTCACCCCTTGCCTTCCTGGAGCCCACCTCTTCCCAGCGGCCCTTGGGGGGAGCTTGGGGGGACGCGCCCCGCCCACCCGACGTGGCCCGGGGTGGGCTTACTTGTTCAAGCAGCTCTCGTAGTTGAAGGTGGCCTTGAAGCCGTAGATGGAGAAGGTCACGATGCTGGCAAAGATGGAGGTAGAGCTGTTGATGAGGGACACGATGACGGCGTGCTTCTGGCAGTTGTTGGACGGCTCGTTGTAGCTGGCGAAGGCGATCAGGCTGCCGAAGCCCAGGCCCAGGGAGAAGAATATCTGGGTGGCCGCGTTGATCCAGGCCTTGGGGTTGGCCAGCTGCTCCAGCTGCAAAGCCAGTGGAGGTGGCCACTGAACCACCCGTGACCTGCCGGTAGGGGGTGGAGGGCCCGGCAGCAGGGGACCCACTGCACCTGTGCCCCTGGCCGGAGCCCATCAACTCCCCAGCGGCTGACACGCACACATTGCTCCCGTCCGGTCCCCCGTGGCGCCCTTCCCAGCGGACGTGTGCAATTGAAAAGTCCACCGTGAGGTTAACTTAAGACACTGGGAGCCATCTGGAATGGGGGGGCATTTTGGGGTGGGGGCGCTGCCAGTCCTTTTGTTTCCAGGGGCCAGATTTGCTAAATGAAGAACTTGCTTTGTCCCAAAGGAAATAGGACCCCCCCATCTCCCCACACCCTGCCGACAGAGGAGCGTGGGCTGTGGGGCGCAGGGGAGCGGGTGGGCTGCGGAGGGATCACAGAATGCCTTGCAGTGGATTCACCCCTGCAGGGAAAGGGGTGCGGGAGAGAAGACAATTGGACGACAAATCATACGGTCCACAGGCTGCTAGGAGGATGGGTGCGAGGCCAGACAGGAGGCCAGGGCCGTAGTCGGCTGGGGTGCAGGGAGGAGGAGGGGGATGGGTGGACAAAAGACTCAGTGCCCCCAGCATGCACAGGCCGGGACCCAGCGCTCACAGGTAACCCACACTGCTCCCACCTCCCTGGGTCTCCCCCGCCTTTCCACCCACCCTGCAGGACGGGGAGTACCCCTCCCTCCAGCCCGTACCTTGGGCGTGAACATGTAGGCTAGGCCATTAGTGGCTCCGTGGAGCGTGAGGCCCCGGACCAGGTAAATGATGAGCACGCAGTAAGGCAGCAACGCGGTGAAGTATACCACCTGCGGGCACCAGAGGGCGGCAGAGGGCAGCGTCAGCCTCCCTGCGACCCGCGATCACCGATCACCGGGCCCCTTTGTCCCTGGGACAGACCCGTGCGTGGTCCCCATAGAGCATGCCACTCTGTCTCGGGCATTCAGGCTATCGACAACTGGAATGATTCTGAGTCTGGGCTGGGGAAAAAAGAAACAAAACCAAACCCTCAGGGGCTTGCAGCCATGGCATTTCTCTACAGAACTGAGACCCAAGAAAAACTTGCCCATGAGGGCTCGTGGAAAGGTGATGATGTTGGTGTGGGGACAATGTCCCTATCAGAAATATGACAGATATTCAATCATCTGACTTTGTTTCTGCACATGAGTGGCATTTTTCTTCAACCAAATCCTTCCCTGCTGACAGGCATCGCGAGCTCAGTGGTTTCCATGGTGGTTCTGGCAGCAGTGTCATAGCCCGGGCCTGCTGACGCGAACTCTTACACGATCTTCAAACCGGGACCTGCAGGTGCGCGCCTGTCCATCCAGACCCGGCACTTTTTCTAGGAATCAACCCATGTAGGCACCATAGTCTCTTTACGGAAAGCACAGAGGTATTTTGCAAAATTCTTTCTGCAAAAGCAGTTTGCTTGAAGGTTGGGTTCATCTGGTTGGAGGACCATGTCCAGAGGGGCTCGCCCTCAGCCCCCATTTCCTGCTGAGGTGTGGCACCATCTTGCCCGGAACCTTCTGAGGCCACCAGACGAGCGGTTCGCACCCGCTCACCCCCCGGGGACAGCAGGCAGAGGTGGGGCCTGTCTCTTACCACTGATTCCTCTCGAGGCCGTTGTAATTTGAGAAGAGCCATCAAGCCAGCTGACTTGATAGGAAAATAATCCAGGAGCAAGATGGAGACAGATGTGGTCAAGGACAGGAGGCCAGTGAGCTCAAGACCATTGAGGACAACTGGAAAGGGGTAACCAATGTCCGTAACTGGTGGACACTGGATACTGAGGGTAGGCCCTTGGAACTTCCCCCCCTCCCCTCAGGTCAGTAAGTTTCCCAGAAGCACTCTGGGCTCAATTCTCCCCCATCAGGGAAGCTGGACAGGTGACCCAGCCTACACCATGGGGAGAGACCGTTTTTGACCCATCCACGACAACTCTTGAAGTTAGGGGATGGGGGGGAAGGAGATTCCAAGAGAAGAGGCCAGGAAATAGTACACAGTTTTTAACCGAATTACTCCCCCATAAAGCTGCAGGGGTACTTTTGCGTGGAGAGGGGGCGTGGCTTGAGCAGAGGAAATAGAAGTTCACGGCAGGATATGACCTCATTTCACACATTTATAAATGATCTCGAAAAGAGATGGCCTCATTAAATCTCCAAGTTTACAGACGCTGCCCTCAGATCTTTGTCACGTTCATGATAATCTGGCAAAGACAAATTGCAAAGAACATTTTTTTTATGAGCATAAACTATGAGCCAAACTTCAAGATGGGACAGCTTGAGTACGTGAGTAGCTACAGGCTCTAAATTCTTCCAGAGAGGACTCATTAGTCCCTCAGCCTGGCCGTGGGATGGGCATGGCCCTGGGGTCATCACAGGGCACCTAAAATATCACCAGCAGTTCTGGTCTTGCGGCATCGAGAGAAACATGGTGGGGCTTCAGGAGGCGACCCAGGTGGTCAAGAGGATGAGGACTGGTGGCCTCTTAGGACCTTCTGAAGGAAAAACTGGGGTGAATTATGTCATGAAAGGCCGGGAAGAATGGAAGGTAGTTCACCAAACCAAGAAGTTGGGGAGTTTCAGGGGCAAAGCTGGGTCTGCCCAGGCTCCGCCCCCACTGGTTGGTGCCCTTGGTCAGGTCTCTCTGCCCCTCGATGCCTCACGTGAGTGGAATGATGAACCCTACTATGAAGGGCTCCCCAAGATGGAGACAAGGTGCACACCCAACCCACAAGGGATCAGGTAGGACGAGTGCCCGAGTATGAGGATGGGGCACGCCCCGGGAGGGGGAGGGTAGGGCATCTGCTGCAGCTCCAGAAAGATGCCACGTGCTGGAGAGACTGTAGGAACACTTTCTCCATGGGGCAGATCAAAGAGCATCCGAGCCCCCACAGGAGAATAAGCCTGGGGAGGCACCAACGAGGGAAGGTTCATCCATCTGGCAGGACAGCTCTGCAAGGTCACTGACAGCCGCTTAGAGCAAAGGTTCTGAGACTCAGCTGCAGATCAGAATCACCTGGGGGAGCTTTCATCAACCCATGCTCAGGTTCCTCTCCACACCGATGACTCCAGGACTTCCAGGCAGGGGGGCAGGGAGGAGTCAGATATCAGAGCTCTCTCTACAAGCTCTCTGGGTGACACCAACCTTTCCGCTAAATTGGAGGGCCAGCGGCAAGGACATCATGGGGACATCTCCAGGGAAGGGAAAACTCACTGTCTAGTTGCTTGGTGCCCCTTGGGTGGTATGGACGTGGGGCTGGCTGGCACAGAAACACTCATCTTTTTAGGCAGTGGAAAAGTCCTCCTTTTGAGATGGCAACTTAGAGCACCACTGGCCATGTGCCTGGTGGTCTGGTAGGTGATTCGTGTCCATACCCTCCCCGCCGGCCCAGTGTCCCCCCGGACCCCCACCCCCGGAGGGCGGAAGGCAGCCGTTGGCAGTGCCCGGCCCGGGCAGGGGCTCTGCCGTCCCCACCTTGCCAGTGGACTGGGTGCCCCTCAGGACGCACAGGTACACCACCAGCCAGGCCAGGACGAGGCAGAGTGCCGGCTCCCACTGCACGCGCCCGCTGTCCTGGATGGACGGGGAGATGTTGAGGGTTTTCCTGTACCAGAAGTACTGGGTGGAGGACGCCTTCTCACACTCCTCGTCGTAGCCCGTGTGGTTGTCGTTCAGCGGGCACACGGACCATGGCAGGGGATCCTTTGGGATCAAAAGAAGCATTTATATAGACAGGTGAGGGCTGAGTGGGAAGGATGGGAGTGGCCCTGGTAGCGGCCATTCTGGGCAGGGAACTGGAGGGCCGGTCAGGGGCACAGACAGGCACTGCAAGCTCAATGCAGATCTGCAACACCGGCGATGTACACAGCAACTCTTTAGCTGGAGGCCTCTTGTTCAGTGCATGACCTGCCCAACTACACATGACAGGTCTGCACAGAGGAGCGGGAACGGTCACCCATGGGGAGAATACAAGTGGCTGCTGTTTCTACCCAGAAGGTGGAGGATGGGCAAGGCTGTGGAGTCAGGGAGACGAGCGGCTGCAACTAAGCTCAGAGCAGGGAGTCCTTCATGTCAAGGATGTACACAGGGAATTTTCCAGCGGGGTGACCGGGGAGGCCAGAGTGGGGTGTGGACGTACTATCTTCCAAGTGTAGATGCCAAGTCCCGCTCATTAAGGTCATTCACCCAATCATTACTTGGGGTTCCGAAGATTCAAGGCTGTGCCCCTGTGCTCCAGAGAGCAGCCCCACAAGCTGGGGTTAGTCCACAGTTCATGGCCAGCCCTGCCTTGCTTTCAGAACTTGGGGACAGTGTCTGTCCTGTGAAGGCCTGGGTCAGGGGCAAAGGGTGTGGCATCTGCCCAGGGACCTTCTGTCCAAGACCGAAGGGGGCTGCTGGAGGGCAAGAGGGGGCAGAGGCTGGTGGGGGGGGGGTCCTCAAGAGTGACAGGCAGGCACTGACGAAAGGCCCTGAGCACGGGCGGCAGAAGCGAAGTCCCCTCTTGGCTTGGACACAAGGAGCACCTCGCGAGGAATCGGGGTTCTCTCTTCTCTGTGATTTTCAGCCCCCTCCCAATCACTACCATGAGCGCCCGCTGAGGCTATCTTCCGAAGTACGTGTTTAAAATGTTTATCTTTGGGAGCAGTCCCTATTGTGTTACAGGGGGGCCAATGGTCCTTCTAGGAGAACTCGGGTCTGCAGGGAAAAGTGGGGGCTGGGCCTGGAGTCGGAAAGCTGGGAGGACGAGTGACCGGAGCAGGGAGGGGAGGGGGGTGAACCGGAGGCGGAGGAAGGGCTGCCCTCCTGTCTTGCTGGGTTGGCCGAATCCCTCCCCAGGGGCTCTCTCCATAGATTTCCAGGGGTGCTGCTCAGTATTTTGTGGAGGGTGGAGGGGTCCTAGCTTTCAGAGGGAATGCGGAGCCACACGCGCGCCCGTGCACACCACGGCAGGAGCCCGCCGCTTGGCGTGGGGTGCTCGGCCTGCCCCTGACCCCAGCCCCGGAGGCTGCCCCCTGGGGGTGGCTCCTGCTCCCACCTGGGCTGACTCACCTGGAAGGAGTGGAAGAGATACCAGAAGGCCCAGGCGTTGATGATGTTGTAGTACATGGACAGGAAGAAGGACACCACCACGCTGGCCAGGCCTGGGAGGAGGCAGAGGGGTGCTGAGGCCTGGCCCGTGTCCACCAGCCCGGGACGCACCCCAGTGACTGCACCGGGACAGCAAAGCCTCCTCCGGCCGCTTTGCAGGAGGGCCAGCTGTGGCCAGGCGCCCGCGGCCCCTCTCTAAGAGCCAGTCCGTCCCCACAACCTCACTCCCCAGCCTTGAGGACGTGAGTCCAATGCCAGTCTGTCACACTTCAGTGCCAGGTGCAACGTCGAGCACCTGCTGGACTTTAGGTCTTGGCAACAATGTGGTCATGAGCGGGGGGTGGGGGGGTGGGCATTATTACCCACACTTTGCAGAGGAGAAAATGAGGCAGGGAGATGGCCCGAGAGTGCTCAGCTGTGACGTGGCAGGCATGGGCTCAGCACGGAGTGTGAGTGGCCTGCTCACCTGCCCAGTGCCACCCCGATGCTGGAGGTCACAGATGTCCCCTGGGGCTCCCCTCAAGTGGGGTCCCTTGTGCCCAGCCCGGCTTCATGGCAGCAGGGAGCAGGGGTGTGGGACGGGGTGTGAGGAGGGGAAGGGACAGGTCGGCGCTGACCTGGCCAGCCTGCAGGGCCCGGGGCAGGGGTGCATGACACCCACCCACACCAGCCCCCCAGAGGCACCCCTGCCCTGTGGAACACTGCGTGAAAGGTCTGCAGCCCCCTCCCCACCACCACCAGTGCAAATATTTACACCAGGGGCACTGGTGAACGCTACAGCCAGATCCTCCCTACCCCCGCCCCTCCTCGAGGGCCAGTGGTTAAACATTCTCCTGCACCTGGGCTTGGCACAAGCATCTGGTAGCTTTCCTCTGAGACAGCAAATGCCACCTTGGAGAAGCCCTCTGCAATTGATGACATGGGCCGATTGTAAAACCACACACCTCCTTGTTAAAAATTAACAGCCCTTCAGGATGAGGAGGCCGCCGGGGTTTGGAGATGGTCTGGGAGGGCACGGGCGCATCGCTTTTGCACAAAGGCTACATCCCAGGCCCATGTATGTCCCTGTTGCTCCCAAAACACCACCTTGTGCCCCTGCCTGCCTTCCTGCCTGGGGGCGGGAGGGTGGAGCCCAAAACACCATGGCCCGTGAGGGCCAAAGTCCCTCCTGCAGCGCCCAGGCATCCCTGAAACGTGAGGGTTGCACAGGGCAGTTTAACGATCTCCAAGAGGTGCCCGGATGCCCGCCAGCAGTCGCTCAGGGGAGGTGGGCATGCAGGCTCTGCCTCCGTGCATGGAGGGACCAACGCATCCCACAGGCTCTCAGTGCTATGACCCAGAGCATGTGGGTCCGTAAGCATCTATGGTACCGGCAGGCACCTGGCACGGAGCCGGTGCTCACGGAATGGGAGACGTTGTTCTGTGCCAGGTACGTGCAGGCACAGGTACCTAGATGAGTTCCCAGAATGGAAGCTTGCTGGACCCTGTGTTACAGCTCCTTGATGGGGCAGCTAGCTTCCTTTTACAGAAGAGCAAACGGAGGCCCGGAAAAGAGAAGTAATGTGGCATCCGCTCCCCAGTGGGTACGCATCCCCCCTTTCTCAGTGGCACATGAGTAAGAAATCCTGCCCTCTCTACTGGCATTCTACAGCCCCCCAATCCGGGCCGTGTGTCCACCCTCAAGGGCTTGCTCTTAGAACCTGTGCGGGCTCCTTGCTCCAGCTGCTCTGCCTGTGGGCTCCCATCCCCACCCCCCGGTGTCCGGGATACAGCAGGGGGTCTCCAGGGGGCCCCAGATGGGAGAGGACCCACTTACCGACACCACCAAGGTAGGGGCTGATGGTCTTCCAGGCGCCGATGCTTCCCTGCCGCATGCGCTGCCCCACGGCCAGTTCCAGGTACAGGAGAGGCATGCCCTCCACAATGAGCATGACGAGGTAGGGCACCAGGAAGCTGCCTGCGGGTGTCCAGGGCCAAGACCAGGCCATCACTGATGCGTTTCACTCTGGAGCCTGCAGGACCTCCATTCACATGACCCTCCAGCCACCCTCCCTTCCTTCCTTCAGTCTTTCCACATATGCATTCATCCTTCTACCTTTCCACCCACCCATCCTTCCACCCTTCCATCCATCCTCCAACCCTCTGCCTTCACTCTTTTCTACCTTGTTCCACAACCCACTGTTCTTTTTTTAAGATTTAGAAAATTAATTTACTGACAGACAGAGATCACAAGTAGGCAGAGAGGCAGGCAGAGAGAGAGGGGGAAGCAGGCTCCCTGCTGAGCAGAGCCTGATGCGGGGATTGATCCCAGGACCCTGGGATCATGACCCGAGCCGAAGGCAGAGGCTTCAACCCACTGAGCCACCCAGGCGCCCCAACACACTGTTCGTTCATGCCTCTCACCCATCTGTCATTCATCCATCTGTGTTCTTCCATTCGTCCATCCATCCACCCACCCACCCATCCATCCACCCAATCCAACCATCCACCTACCCATCCACCCAACCACCATCCAACCACTCATCCATCCACCCATCCAACCATCCACCTACCCATCCACCCAACCATCCACCCATCCACTCATCTACCATCCAACCACTCATCCATCCACCCATCCACCCATCCAACCATCCATCATCCATCCGTCCATTCATTCTTCCATCTTTTCATCTTTCTACTTATCCATCCATCTGTTCAACCATCTGTCCATGGATGACATGTGGACTTGTTAGTTAAAACATTGAAATACTTCCATCCCAGGTAGTAAACTGCCACTGTCCCAAGCCCCTTGAGTGCCTTTCTCAATGCCTCTGCTGCCCCAGCTCCTCTGCCAGAAACCTTAGTCCATCTTCTGTTGTACCAACCAATGATGTATGTGTGAGGAGACAAGGGGTCCCCAACAGAGCCTAGACCACCATCTTCTTGGACAGAGTACCTCTATTGTATATTGTATCTGTTTTATGCAGGGGCCCTCGGTCTAAAATTTTATTTTAATGAAGAGTACTATCACCAACACAAATTTAAAACTCATGGGTCCCTGAGCAGGCATCAGCGGATGAATGCCTGTGATGACAGCGGGGAGCCAGGGGTGTGGCTGTAGCTCTGGAAGCCCTCCCCACTGCTGACACCTGCTGGGGGCTCCCTCCACCCCTGCTTGCAGGGCCTTACCCTGCTGCTTCTCCCGGGAGCCCCGCCCCTCCTTCCCTCCTTCTCTGAAGCCCTGCTCATCTCTCCCCCTGGGCTCCCAGCTCCTTGGCAGTGGACCTGACAAAAGGTTCCAGGAGGAGAAGAGGGCAGGACTCCTGATTAAAATAAAACCCTGACACTACAGCTGCAGGGATTAAGGGCTGGTTACAGAAGGAACTGGTTGCAAAAGTGTTCAAGTCAAAGAATGAAATATAGATGCTTACATGAACATCTAATGTTTGCAGCAATGCCTTCACTGTACATACAGAGCCCCCGAGCTCCCTCTTCTCCGCCGGCGGGATCTCACGATCCCTCTCCCGACCGCAACATGTCCGTGTGCATCACCCCCCCAGTAGCTACCTGGCGTTCTGCTAGGAAAATGTGCCCAGACTCATTTCATCCTTTGTCATTCTAAACAGAGCAGTGGGACAAAGCCTGGCCCACGTGTTCAGTTCTTTCCTCCGGGCAGAAATCCCAGAAAGAGGATCGCTGGCACCAAGACCAAGCAGAGACCAAGCAGGGCCATCTCCCACCACAGAGAGAAAGGCACCGACTATGCCACTACCACGAGGCCTCGCCTTCCCAGCTCTGATCTCCCCACTTACACTGGGGCCCACGACACGTGCTCCCCTCTCACTTTTGGACTCTGTGCTGATGACTCTGCCAGGCCCTGCTCCCATCCTGCCCTGTTGAAACGTGTTTTGGCATCTCCCCAGGTTCTTCTTAGAGCAGGGAGTTCAAGAGGCAGTGTTGTTGGGGGGGGGGGTCCCCACCCACCACAAACCTAACAACAAAGGCTGCATGGACACCACCTGCTTGGAACAGCATTCAAACCCTCAGTTGTCGTAAGAAAAGCTCATTTACATCCAAGGTGTTAAACAGTAACCACACGAGGCCTGGCAAGATCCATGGCAGATTTTCTCTCTGACAGGGCCTGCCTGATGGCCCATGGCCCATGGGGAGGCTGGAAATCAAAGACCTGGTGCCCAGGCGGGGTCACAGGGGCACTCGGGGTCTGCCCATCAGACATTTCTATCTCCCCTCCCATCCTCCAACTATCCAAACACATGATCCCTGTGAGTTCACTCTGCAACTGTTTTCTCAACACATGGTTTTAGAGGGGTGCCTGGGTGGCTCAGTGGGGTAAAGCCTCTACCTTCGGCTCAGGTCATGATCCCAGGCTGCTGGGATCGAGCCCTGCAATGGGCTCCCTGCTTGGCAGGGAGTCTGCTTCTTCCTCTCCCCATCTGCTGCCACCCCCCAGGTTGCGCCCACCCCCATCAAATAAATAAATAAAATCTTTTTAAAAAGTGGTGTTAGAACTGAACACCAATGCAGAAAAAGATGAATCTCAACCCGTATCTCACATTTTAGAAGCCCCCCCCCCAATACCTCTCAAAATGGATCACAGACCCATATGCACAACTCAAAACTATAAAACTTCTAGAAGATGGCCCAGGAGAAAAACTTTCTGACCGCAGGCTAGGCAAAGATTTCTCACCTACCCCATCGAAAGCACTATCTATGAAGGACGGCAATGATAAGTCAGATTTCATTTTCAAACTGTGCTGTGACAGACACAGGTAGGAAAATGAAAAAGGCAAGCTGAAGACTGGGAGAAACATTTGCAAAACACAAATCTGACAAAGACAGCATCTAGAATTTGTAAAGGACTCTCCAAACTGAACAATGAGGAAACGAAGAACCCATTCAAAAAAAGTACAAAGGGGGCGCCTGGGTGGCTCAGTGGTTAAAGCCTCTGCCTTCGGCTCAGGTCATGATCCCAGAGTCCTTGGATCGAGCCCGCATCGGGCTCCCTGCTCAGCAGGGAGTCTGCTTCTCTCTCCCTCTGCCTGCCATTCTGCTTACCTGTGCTCTCTATCTCTCTGTCAATGAAATAAATAAAATCTTTGAAAAAAAAAAGTACAAAGGATCTGAACAGACATTTCAGCAAAGAAAACACACGAATGGCAAATGAGCTCATGAAAAGATGCTCAATGTCGGTGTTCATTGTGACAACAAGCATACGGATCACGGTGAGATGCCACTGCACACCTATCAGGACGGCTAAAATAAACCAGGCTGATAATATCGAGTGCTGGTGAGGACCTGGGGGGACTCCCAGGCATTGCTGCTGGCCTGGAAGGTGGTGCAGCCGCTCTGGAAAGGGGTTTGGCAGTTTCACATAAAGTTAAGCACACTCTTCCTGTGTGCCCCAGCCGTCGTACCCCTATGTGTTTCCTCTAGAGAAGCGACAACATTCGCATCAAAACCTCTGTATGAATGTTTATAGCAGCTCCGTTCAGAGTCATCAGAAACTGGAAACAACTTAGTGGTTCTCCATTGGATGAGTGGGTAAGTTGTGTACATCCATCCAATGAAATACTACTCAGCCAGCAAAAAGGAACAAACTACTAATCCACGCTACAGGACCACAGACTCTCAGAAGTGTTATGCTAAGTTAAAGATGCCAGGTTTGAAAGACTCCGCACTGTATGATTCCCCTTACAGGACATTCTGGAAAACAGCAACCCCACAGGGACCGAAAACAGATCTGTGGTTGCTGGGGGTCGGGAAGGGAAGGGATGACTCTAAGGGGCATTACTGCAGTGGAGGTAACACAACCAAACATTTATCAAAATTCTTAGAACGGACACCAAAAAAAAAAAAAAAAAAAAAAAAAAAAGGTTACTTTCCTGCGTATCTCAAGAAAAGAAAAATTAGTTTTGTGATGAGTTTGAAAATGAGTCCACTGACCAACCCTCTTCCACGGACTTCTCTCCTCTGATCCTGCCTTAGTATGAGCAGACCCCATTGTCAGGGAGAGATGGATAAAAATCCTTTGCTCCCATGACCCAGGGATGCGAAGCCACAGGAGGAGAACCAGAGGCTCATTGAACTCCACGCGGAGTGCTCACGTGGGAGGACTTGCAGGCGGACGTCCCCACAACAGCCAGGCCTGATCAAGCCTGGAGAAATCCCCAGGCACCCACAGAACTGAGAGAAAGAATTCACTGTTCTACGTACTACTTCGTTTTTTGCCCCCCCCCTTTTACCTCTCAATACTTTATCACACTGCTCCTAAAAATAAGGACATTCTCTTGCATAATCCCAGGGCAAGGAGAACCAGGAGAGTGACATGGCAGCAGCAGGAGGATTTAACCCACAGACCTGGGTCACCTGGGTGGCTCAGTGGGTTGCGCCTCTGCCTTCACGGCTCGGGTCATGGTCTTGGAGTCCTGGGATCGAGCCCTGTGTCAGGCTCTCTGCTCAGTGGGGAGCCTGCTTCCCTCTCTCTCTCTGCCTGCCTCTCTGCCTGCTTGTGATCTGTGTCAAATAAATAAACAAACAAATAAAAATTAACCCGCAGACCTTCCTGCAATTTGACCAACTCCCCCACCCCCATCCTCCTTCCGGCCTCACCATCACGAGTGGCGTCTTGGGCTGGATCCCCTCACTCAGCTTCTGCAAACTGGGACAGCCTCTCGGGCTCTCCTTGTCTTTCACAACCTTGACCTGCCAGAGAATCCTAGCCAGTTCTTCTGTGGAATGTTCCTTGCTTTGGGTTTTGGCAGGAACACCGAAGCCACCTGGGTCTTTGTCCAGGGGCACATGATGCCGCTTTGCCCCGCTCTCAGGTGGGTTCACTTGGCTCACTTGGTCAAGGTAGGCTCTGCCAGGTTTCTCTGCGGAAAGTTATGGGTTTGTCCCCTTGGAAATGATGATGGGACTTTGCTGGGAAGTATTTTGAGCTGAGATCGCCCTCCTGTT